GCTTATTCAGGAGGGGGTGTAAGGAAAATTTAACTACAAAAAATGCTTACGCATTTGTATCAGTCAAATAAAAAGTATGTCTAGTAATGCCTGGTCAACTTTTGAGCTTAATTACTGTTTGGTATGACATGAACCTTCTATAAAAGAGGAACACCATCCCAGATTGTTAGGATTTCATCAGAATTCATTAAATAATAATAAACATTAACCCTTTTCGGTTAGAAAGACAATATCTATGAAATGTTAAGGATATAATACATGTATAACTCTGATGGGTAAATAGAGATGCATTAAACCATATATAAATGATTTATTACAATCAAATAAATCGAGTTCTTGCATTTGTTGGTATTTTTTATTACAATCAAATAAATCGAGTTCTTGCATTTGTTTGTATTTTTATTATACAGTGCCATCTAGCTTAAGGCATTCTTCTCAAAACAGGCTACAACCTTAGACAGTTAAATGCAGATTTCAGAGATAACGATTTCAATATCCTGAAAAAAGTACTGCAGAGGTTTTACCATATTTGAGATCGATTAAGTCAAAAAAAACAAAAACATATGCAATCTCAGGATACCTGTAATACATAACTGCAAAAGTTTGCAATTTATGGATCTACGATTGCCTCAGACTTTTCACTGGAGAAACACCATTGGTCCGTTTTTATTGAACTTAATACTTCCACCTGTTAGCCAGCACCAACTTTCGACTGATATGTCCAGTGGTTCCAAGGCCAAGTCACTTGGGAGAAAAATATTTAAGGATAATCTTTGGAAATTATTTCATTTAGCTTCTGTCAGAGTAAGCGACTTTGAAATAGAGCCAAAAGAAAAGCTCTGTTTTACAAATAGTTTTATAATATTATTATTTCGAACTTTTACAAATGCTACTTTGTTTACAATGTTTACACTGTACAAAAATATTTCAAATAAATAGGATATATTTTTACATAGCTTAAAATATTACAGGCACGCGTCATCAAAAGGACCACCCCTTTATAACCTTTCACTGCTGCAAATCTTCACTGAAAGGCTGCTCCCCCTCACCCATTTTTTTGTTGAGGTATAACAATATTTTGTCCAAGTAAATGTGTTTTTCGAAAAGACAAAATATATAAAAATTTTCCCTCCTCTTCCACAAAATAGGATTTTAAAGTTTAGACATTTTCCCTTTTTCCAATTCAAAGATTTTTCTGGTAAGTTCTTTTTTTAAATAATAGTACCCCCGCCCTTTTTTAAAAACGATTCTACTGCCTGTAAAATCTGTAAAAATGCAACAGTTACATTCCACTGCTTTATCGCTCACCTGAGCCGAAGGGTCAAGTGAGCTTTTCTAATCACATTTTGTCCCTCGTCCGAACTTGTGTGGAAGCATTCTTGAGTAGTGTTGATTCTACCCCTGGGTTAGGAAAAGAGCCACAATAGAGAACCCAATTTTAACATCAAATTATATAGACACATTCTTTACAAAAATCCTCTTCTCAAATTAACCACTAATATATAAAAGATGAAATTTGTGTGGAAGCATTCTTGGGTAATGTAGAAATATTTAAATCATGTCCCCTGGAGGTAGGGCGGGGCCGCAATCGGAAATCCAAGTTTTACATTGCAATATAGAGGAAAATTCGTTCAACCAAGCCTCTTTCTTTACTCCTCACTATTAATAGTGTGAAGGAGAAACTTCAAGAGTACTGTGCAACAATATATGCAAGAAGTGGTGTAAATCAGATGTGGATATTTAGAAATTCCAAGAAATTTTTGGACAATTTGAAATGATAAGATTTCACCAAAATCAGCAGCTTAAAGACTTACGACTTTTCAACTTTATACACAACCATTTTCCACCGTAAATTAAAGTCCAGTCTTTTTGATATCATTGACCGCTGCTTTTAAATTAAAAAGGGAACTCGTAAACTTACTTACCTTGCCATTGGTCATTTGCAAAATTATTTTGATAAGAAACATTCTGATTGTACACACAAGTACTTTGAAGTTGACATAGAAAAGATGCTTGAGTTTCTGATTGATAATATCTTTGTGGTTTTTTGAGACCAGGTCTTCAAACAATCTATTGGAATTCATATGTGTTCCAATTGCAGATCTGTTTTTGTATTCACATGAAGCAGAATTTATGCAAAATCTTACGCGTGAAAAGAAGAAAACACTTGCTGTGGCCCGTAGCTCCACATTTAGATACATCGACGACGTATTGTCAATTAACAATGGTAATTTCCATTCCTATGTCGATACGATATATCCTGGTGAGTTTGCTTTAAAAGATACCACAGAGTCTGACACATCTGTTTCATTCTTGGATATTTTACTTGAAAGGTAATCTAACAACCAAAGTCTGATAAACGTGATGACATTAATTTTTCTATCGTCAACTTCCCTTACTTATGCAGCAATATGCCTTTATCACCTGCACACGGAGTTTATGTCGATACAATAACCTTGTCAGCAAATACAATTTATCATTGAGTCAAATGCTGACTGACGTTTTTCATACTAATTGTTAGTCCATTATTTATACACTGTTTTAACGACGGATTTTTCCGTTTTTTCCCGATTATGATAAGGAGCACACGGCGGGTGTGACCGGTCAGCAGGGGAGTCTTACTCCTCCATGGTACCTGATCCCACCTCTGATGTTTTGGAGGTTCGTGTTTTCTCCTATTTTGTATTGTTTTATGGACTTTGACATTGAATACTGTTCGTTATCTCCATATCCTTCTCAGTTGATTCGATACGCAAGAACATGCTCTATGTGAGAAATTTCTAAAACGAGGTAAATTATTGACAAACAATTTGATGAAACAAGAATATCAGCAGTCTAGTTTAAAGTCATCATTTCGTAGTCAGCAAACACAATTTATCATTGAGTCAAATGCTGACTGACGTTTTTCATACTAATTGTTAGTCCATTATTTATAGACTGAATTGACGACGGGTTTTCCGTTATATCCCGATAATGACAAGGAGCACACGGCGGGTGTGACTGGTCGGCGGGGGATGCTCATTCATCCATTGCACCTGATTCCACCTTTGATGTATCGGAGGTCCGTTTTTGATCTGCTCCCATTTTTGTATTGTTTTATGGACTTTGATATCGAATACTGTTCGTTATCTCCATATCCTTTATTGACAATAAAGTTGATGAAACAAGAATTTCAGCTGTCTCGTTTAATGTCATCATTTCGTAAGTTCTATGGTCGATACAATGACCTTGTCAGCAAATACAATTTATTATTGAGTCAAATGCTGACTGACGGTTTTAATACTAGTTGTTAGTCCTTTATTTATACACTTAAATGACGATGGATTTTTGCATTATTTCCCGATCTTGACAAGGAGAACGCGGCGGGTGTGACCGGTCGGTAGGGAATGCTCACTCCTCCATGGCACTTGATCCCAAATCCAATATTTTGGAGGTCCGTGTTTGCTCTACTACTATTTTGTATTATGGACCTTTGATCTTGAATACTGTTCGTTATTTCCATATATTTCGTTTTAAAATCTTCTTAAGAACCACTGGGCCAGAAAATCTGAAACTTTAGAAGAAGCATCCTTTGGTAGTGTAGAAACTAAATTGTTCAAATCATAATTCCCGGGGTAGGGTGGGGCCACAATATGTATTACAAATGGAGAAATCTGGTAAATAACAAAGTTACTCAGGTGAGTATCAGGTGATTATATAGGTGGGTATGTGGCCCATGGGTCTCTTGTTTATACATTACATATTGTATTCTCTCAAAATAAAGAAAAATTATCAACATCAACTCAAATATTCAAAAGTTGATTTCGTGGGGGTATATCTTAGAATTCCCCATTTTTAGACAGGTGTTTTGTTACCCCTTAAGTAGTTTTAGTAAAACTTGTTTTTTTGTGATATTAAGGTAGGATTCTTCTCATATTTCTAATATTTAAAAATTAATGAAATTTTCACAGAATCAAGAAGACAATATCAGTAAGTGATGGTATCATTCAAATTAAATTTGACCGTTTTATATAAGAGGCAAGGTCAGGTCAAGGTCATTATCTTTTTCCTTGACATTAAGAATAAAAAATAACTGTTGCCAAACATGTGATACCTACTTCTATTTTAAAAGTTTAAAGATTGTTCTTTTTGCATAAAAATATATTACTATATCGGGTCTATAACACGATATTACCAAATTTACATAAATAATTTAACTTTGGATATTTAATTTTTTGTTTTTCTTAATTTTTCAGGATATATTAGTTATTTTCATATGCTTCCTATATTTAACTTTTTCTTATTTTCACATATAATAAAATTGTCTTATAAATGTACAAAATGATACAAAAATAAAAAGTTTTGTCGTTTATAAGAGAGAAAAAATACTTTTTATGGACTTAAATTTCCATTGATAGGAAGCGTTTAAAAGATAAAGTTCTAGTTTGTTTAAAAAATCATATTTATTTGTTATATTTTGAAAACATTATTAATCTAACTTACATTTGAGTCTTCGATTGTGTAAAAATTATAACTAAATTCATTGTCCTATTATAATTTTGAGAGGCAGAAAAGAAGATATTTTCATACGCCACCATTCCGCCAAAAATATAGTTCCTGCTAGTTTTCAAACACAGTTTACCATTTCTATTTAAAGTTGTACAATTGTGATGAGGAAAGAAAAATATGGTCTTTTAAATTCCTTACACCTTAATATATAAGACATGTAAGCAAATATACTTTGAATGTTTCATCTAGTCAAAAACCAGAGAAGAATCCTACCTTAAACTATCAGATTCGTCGATGAAACATTCCTTTTGATGTCATTTACTAACAACATCAGAAGTTTCATCACTATATGACTTATATGTGTATAAAAAAGTAGAGAACAAAAACTGAATAAGCCAAGGTCTACAATGAGGGAACTATAAGAAACACTTTGCTCAACCAGATAAACAACTCTTTATTCATAATAAAATTCCTGGGCACGTCTTCTAATAACCCCGTCCACAAATTAAACTGAGTGATCAGCGCTCTTCTAAAATAACATTCATCGCATGTTTGTAAAAACATCAATTAAGCTTTTCAGTCCATACAGATAGCCCTGGTCAGGCCCGGTGTGAACCCTGGTATCGTTCTGAAACCCACTATGGGTGCTGTGGGCAAAATCGATCATCCGAACGTCCACAATGTTAGACTGGGCACTGGCCTCCTCCACGTCCTTGTCCTGTGAACGGACGTCGTACATGACGAGGAGAGAACTAGAGTAGAAACGATACGTGTCCAAAGACTGGACTTGTCCGTGAAGGTCTTTGAGTTTTTTAATGATGGAGTCCAGCAGGTCTTTCCTGGGTTCATACCCATTGTGAAGAAACTGTTGTAAGGTCTGTTTAAAGCCATCAACCCCCAAACTTCTCCCATAGTACTTATTTACACAAATATATTTATCGCTGTCTTCTTGGTAAACCTGAGAAAAAAACAAAAATATTTCAATTACATTGGATCATAAGATCATACCATGAAACCCTTGTATTGAGAAATTGCACAGCCATCAACATCTCATCCATTTGCCTGAAGTTTACCTTAGTACACACTCAGATGTTAAGTTGGCTTTTATACAATGTTGTGTGACATCAAATAAAATGGATATATGAAAAAAGTGCTATATAAAGACAAGCAAGTAAATGATTTAAATGATCCCTATGCCTTAACTAATAACCTTTTCAGTTCATAGCCTGTATACTGGTTTAGTTCATTGCATCCCGCATACCATATCCCCTAACTGATGCAATTTACCATACCACTATCATTGAATCAAGTAATTATTTACACGCTTCAGACCTTGAGTTTTGGCCAAATGTAAGAACCTCAATGAAATATGGTCACTAACTGATGTAATTACTTGCATCTTACTGATCATGACCCTTGACTTGGTTTAATAACCTGCTTGATTCAAAAAATAATTAGTAGACTGCCTGTCAACTTCAGGTGATCATAAGTTATTACCTCCATTCAAACTATAACCCTAAGTTAGTTGTAACCCTTACACAGATCTAATACCGTGTACCTTCATCCCACACACCCTGACCCCAAGGCTGCTGGAGGTTGTGTTCTGACATTTCCTAATAGCCTTCTCCTTCTTCTCCGGGGAGAAATCATCTCCATGTTGCATGGTTCCCATCTTAAGATCTATAATGCTTGGGTGACTGTATTTTGCTGCCAAATTCTCTAACAATATAAACTCTTAGGTATTTATTAAGGATTATTTTATTATATGTGAACTGCATACGGAGTTAATATATCTCAGTCGATTCGATACTAAAGAGCATGCTCTACGTATGAACAATTTCTAAAACGGGGTAAATTATTGAGAAACAAGTTGATGAAACAAGAATACCAGTAGTTGCGTTTTAAGTCATCATTCCGTAAGTTCTATGGTCGATATAATGACCTTGTCAGCAAATACAATTTATCTTTGAGCTGACTGACGTTTTTCACATCTCTGATGTTTTGGAGGTTCGTGTTTTCTCTACTCTTATATTTGTATTTTTAATGGACTTTTGAGCTGCAATACAGTTCGTCAATTTCATGCATTTTATTATATTTCGTTATAATCCCGTTCGCGTAAAAAGTGGTAGATTGTATAGTGATCGGGATGTCCTTTCGTCCGTCTGTTTGTTCATCTGTCCGTCCGACCGTCTGTTACGCTTTCGGTACCAATCTCATAACCACAATTCCTTCTATACCACTGAATGAAATTTAATGAGACTCAAAGAATCTTTGTTACATAGTACCATTGTATTTTTTAGCGGATACATATTTCTGGTTTCTCAGCTTTCTGCCTAGAATGAGCCAGCGTTTAAGATATCTATTCTGAAAAATATCTTAAGAAGAAGGCTCTCTCATCAATGTAACGACGTCTAAAATGATGCAATATTTATACCCCCCGCTTGAAAAGCGGGAGGGTATATAGTAATCGGTATTTCCGTCCGTCCGTCTGTCCATCTGTACGTCCGTCTAGCTGTCCTTCCGTCTGTTACGCTTTGGGGTACCCGTCTCTTATCCGCAACTCCTCTCATACCACTGAATGAAATTTGATGAAACTTTCACAGAATCTTTATTACATATTGCCATTGTGCACCTCCTATTTTACTTTTTGATCCGACACATATTTTGGGTTTCCCGGCCACAGGAAAACATGGACTTTTTCACCAGTTAAAACCATATGGGAGGCGGAGGGTATCATTTAGTGAGCTCATCGCTCACAGTACCTCTAGTTTTTAATTAATTACACCAACTTTTTCGCAAGTTATACATTTTTCTGCAATTTTTTAACCATTTTTAACCATTTTCCCCGCATTCTCAAGGGAAAAAAATCATTATTTACATACATAATCGTGCCATTGCAGGTGAAAATCCATCTTCAAAAAATTATAACCAATATAAAGCAGTAAAGAGGGCATAAAATACCGAGCCCTGGAAATTCTATCAAGCGCATAGGAGTAGTTAGCATCCCCTATTTACTGATTACAAGCGCAATGAGCCCTTTGTATTGATCGGGTAGAAGAAACATAGATTAAAATCCCTGTAATTTTAACTCATTTATTAGTACCCTGCCTTTGTTTAAATTTTGATAGCTAACAACACATATGTCTTCTGTCATACCTTAATTAACGCTTGAAGGATACTACAATGAAAGGCGGGGCTCTGATTAACCTTCCTCAGTTTTTTCAGCATCTTTCCATGACAACGTGAAATCCAAGGGTTGAGATTTTCTGGTCTTAGCTCATAGATAGAGTCTGGATTTTGCGCTGCTTGACTATTCATTCCATTTTCACCATTCATAACAAGTTGCAAACTAGAAACAGACAAGAACATTGTTCAAATCAAATTGAAAGGAAATTGATATGGCAAAAACTTATTTATTGTGCTAGATATTTCTTTTAATATTACTTTACAAAGATTCAGGTGCATGGTAATTTTTCTGCATGCATGGTTAACAATTCTTGCAATGCAGAAAATGCAAAATATGATCGATCGATTAATTGATTGATTGACTGATTAACTGATAGAAGTTTACATTTCTTGCTAGATTATGGCACCCATATGAGACGACACCAGATGCCGATAACGGGCTTCAGACCTTAATTAAGCACTCAGGAGTGTTGAGCTTTGTGGGTTGAAAACTGTAAGTGAGTTTTAAGGACAGATGATACGTTTCTCAATAATATATAATTTTTTCCAAGATTTCGTCACTGATCTTTTACAACTTTAATAAGTTTACTCACAAAAAAATTGAGGCACCTTACCAGGCATTTGTGCAAGATAGCATAGGGTAGTGTTTCTTAAATTTTCCATTTAGGGAAAAAAATTCATATTCAAATTTTGTAGGGTTGAAATTTTTTAAGACGATCAGAAACTGATTTAAAAACCAGAATGTAATTAATATTTTGAATATTTTTTCAGAATTTCAAAAATATACATAACATATATTTGAGGAACGTATCGTCTGACCTCAATGAAAGAAATTAATTACGAAGTACGAGGGTGGTTAGAAAAGTTCGAGGACACACTGAATTACGGAAAATCTGTTGTGTACTGTGAAGTATGACCTATGTCTGAATAAATTCCAATATTGTGTTTATTAGTATGTAAAAAATCAGGTCCATTTAATAAAATCTTGAAAATTTAAAACGATTTTAAATATGAGGTCATGGGATTCACGGAGCAATCACTTGACGTAAGGCGACGTGACAACCAGATTTCAACCCGTTAAGCTTTGTCGTAGTTCTAAAAATCTTTCACATTTCTTCAGATTTTTCTTATCTTTTTTCCAGTTTAAAATTGAATATCTATATCAAGACATGTTACTTTTCTACTATAATGTCTTTTGTACTGATTCGGATATTATTAAGATCAAAAGTCTATGCAGTTAATCGATGAGGTATGGAAACTATGCAAAACCTTATAGGCACAACGTCGATGCGATACGGGGGTATTGAAGTATCGATGGAGTTAATCATTGAAAATGTTAATCCTTCCATTTTTATAAAGCTACAAACATTTGAAAACTTTTGTCTTTTGTATGTGTAGGATATTCCCGGCAGCATCTTGAACATTTTATATCTTTTTAGACATTTTGTTGTCTGCACGCATAATTTTTACGTAGTGCAGTGCTCCATGACACTCACTGACGTTCCGATTTTTGGCTATTTTTTACGCAGATCATTTATAAAATATAAAACATATATTTAATTCAAATAACGTTCCATGAACACTTTAACCATAAAATATATGATCTCTTTGCGCTACAATTATGTTAATTTTTCATGTGAAGCAAGTTTTATTAAAATAAAAAAGCTGTATTTTTTTCAATGATCACCGGAGAGTGCCAAATTTTTGTATATTTATTGGAAAATAGGTTAGGATTTTATCTGGAAAGTTTGACCGGTTTCGTGGAAATAGCGCGCTCACAATAGAACTTTTACATATTGTACTTCGGGTTTGTTTCCACGATGTTCACTAAGGAAAATACAAATTTTACCTTTTATTTTATAGTCTCCGATATATGAATAATTCCACAACAATGAATAACCATTATTTCTATGACCATTCCGCAAAAGCTTTTGTTATTTCATGTAGTTATAATTGCCTCCGTTTTCTTTTTAACATCGGGCTCGATGCTATATGATGTTCTATAAGCTTTCGTCAATGACGAAAATAAATCTTACATTTCCCTTCTTAATTGGTTATCATAACTTATTTCTTTTATATCAACTTTTGATTGATTAGATGATGTTTTATGGAATAAATAAACGATTGTTTTTGTCAGTTTCATTAAATAAAAATGCAAGTAGCTTAGATCCATCAACCAGAAACGCCACTGTACTTACGTTTTTGCTTTTTAATGGCTGTTATAGAAAATTAAAGTAGACTTTTAATTTAATGTACGATACTTATCATGCGAGTGAAATACGAACATCACCTTATACCTAGTGTGTTGTTACAGAATTAAGTAAGTACGAACTCTGTTGCACCCATTTCGGACTTTGTTTGCTAAATGTTTTAATTATAATTATAGATACCTGCGTTGACCCTCTTTTTCAGCATTTCTCTCTTGGTTTAGCTTGAGGTTCTCACAAGTAGGTGACTCCGGCAAAGAACGATGATAAAGGATCGTCAAGTAACCTTTACCATTTTCACAAACCTTCCCCTCTATTGTTTCTAAAAATAAAACAAAAGACATGTGAAAAGCATTTGATAAAGAAAAGCTGTTGTAAAATTTGACCAACATTTTATTTTGCTTTATACTAGGTTACTGGATGACGAGGAGAGTGTTTAAATCCTTACCTCTGAATTCTGCAGTGAATTGCTTGAGGTTCTGTGGCAAAGTCAGGTAGAAGTCCTTTTCTTTGGTATTAAGTGGTTTACACAAAGTCCAGTCGTCAAACTGGAAGATTCCAGTTTGTCCACTGACCTGGTGCTCAAATGGCTGTAATTGGACCGATTCATACCATTCTCCCATATTACCCGTGGTTCAATATTAGATATATCTGAAATTTTTGCAACTTTAATTTAAAATGATTTATTTTTTAATGTTAAATAAGGAAAATATAAGGAACAGTGTCCTAAATTTTGAATAAATCTAGTATTACTAAAGGAATGGGGTTATTGGGGTTTATCCAATATGGATAAACCTGGTTATTTCGTGCAGCTTAATGTTTTACATGCAAAGATAGATAACTCTTAGTTTCTTAACATTGAACGTCATAAATCATCGGGCTCGGTGCTTAAAAAATTCTTGATATTTCTTGTATGCGCATGTCTTCTAGAATATTCCTTTTGAATCTGTAAATTGAACGAAGCAGACGCAAAGATTTAATGCCATGGGAGGGAGGCAATGTTTTTTGCTTGTGAATATATATCACGTATTTAAAAAAAGTCTTGCATTGCCATTTAACAGCTTTTCAAAGGATTTATGCGCGTAAAATGTGTATTGAAATCTTACTTTAAATACAAATTACATTTGTGGACAAAGAGAAACATTTTCAGAGTACTGATTTATCGTAGTTACTTGCACATATTTGTGCAATGTCTAAATAATATGAGTGAAAAATACTTTTGTTAAGACATTTTTCTGGTATTTTCCCCATTGTCTTTATTCATTATTAATAGAAAATTGAGATCAAACAGCCATCAATTTTTTGCACAGCTTTATTTTTCTAGCTTAAACTCCAGCTACAAAATATATGCAGATACAGGACAGTGATCAATATTAAAATCCACTGAACTTTAGATCTATCAAGAATCCTTTTTCGACCGATCAAGAATTTCACATTTTCATATTGAATTTGGCTACAGAGTGATCCATGCTACTGATAATTGCAAAGGCTTCATGGCGGATGTGACCGGTCGACAGGGGATGCTTACTCCTCATGGGCACCTGATCCCACCTCTGAAATTTCGAAGGGTATTCACAATCTTGTATTGTTTGTGTATTTTTTTAGATTGATAACTTTTCTTTATATTCACCCCTTTAATTCTGTCAAAAGGAGTTACAGTTGATTACTCAAATAATTTACATACTACAATTCATCGATAAGGTGTAAATAAACAATAAGACATATAATTTTTTTTTACAAAAGTTTCCACCAACGAAATTCCCCATGCTATTATTATAAAAAAAGTCAAATCTTAACTCATAAACCTGTAACAGTTATGAAAAGAAAACCATCTTCCAGCATTAATGAATGTTTATGAAACACTATGAAATCATTTTAATTCGTTGGGGGTAATTTTTTTGGATAAGCAATTTTAACCTGTTCGTGGGGACGTAATTTCGTGGGTTACTCGCATATATGATGGTTCAATAAATCAATATGCTAACAAAATAAACATCCGTTGGGAGCTAAATTTGTGGATAATGGTGATCCACGAGCATTGGTTCCCCCCCACCAACAATGATGATTCTACAGTAAGTATAGCGATAAAATTCATTTTTTTGTTTTGAAAATATTTACAACTATGGCCAACAACAAGTCAATCTATATAGTATTTGTATAAAAAACCTTACTTGTACAGGGTCAACTTAAAAAAATGATTGCACAAATTATTGGCGTCTTGAGCTTTTCAGCATAATTTAGTGTGTAAAATATATCGACAGACTTCCCCCAAAATTTAGGTGTAACAAGAGGTACTATGAGCACAGAGCTCACTAAATGATACCCATATCTCTCATACCATTATAATGGCAAAGTCCATGATTTGTTCTGGGAGACACGAAATGAGTATCAGATCAAAAAGGAAGATAAGAGGTGCACAATTGCAAATTGCATTATATAATAAGGAGTGTGTGAAAGTATCATTTAATTTCATTCAGTGGTGAATTTAAGAGGTGTTGCGGATGAGAGATGGGTAGCCTTCAATAATTAGAGAGAATAGCCCTGTTCATGTTTTGGTATGGAAAACCCGAAGTATGTGTCTAGTCAAAAAGTAAAATAGGATGGCAAAATGGCACTACGTAACAAAGATTCTGTGAAAGTTTCATTAAAATTCATTCAGTAATATAAGAGAAGTTGCGAATAAGAGTTGGGTACCCCAAAACGTAACGGACGGACGGACATCCCGATCACAATATACCCTCCCACTTTTTAAAAAAAATATGGGGGATCTTTTAACTCATTTTATAAGAATATTCATTTTGTCCCATCTTCAACAATTTAAGGCGCGGATCCAAGAATATTAACCTTGGGAGGTTTCACTGGAGTAATTTAAAATGATTTAAATTTAAAAAAAAATTTTCACTTATACGGTATGTAATAGACATTTATGTCATTAAGAGTTAATCTCTCTTATCAGAGTATCGATGTACCTTAAGACATAGCAGGGGTGTTGAGTGAACAGAGCTAAAACTCGTCATCCATGATTTCAATGTTAAAGTGGCAATTTATTATTATTATATGCTGATATAACATGAATTGAATAGAAAGGCCATCTTTCAACTAATGTTTGATAGTCCTCTCCCGACTCAGGGTAAAATAAATTTATTGGTCGGAAGGTAGTTGGGATTTTTTTCTTAAAAACTTTATTAACATATGTGTTATCGGGAAAAGACCCAACAAATCTTGTCCTGGAATATTAAAAGTTTTGAGTCGGAACATTTTTAGTTCGTCGGTCGGGAGAGTGCAACTTTTTTTTTGTAGATGGCCTCTAGTTGCTTTTATTTTTCATTTTTCCAATAATGTATAGGGCCTAGCTTATTATTTTTTTTTAAGACGAGCAGAACTCTTTTTAGTGGATAGCTCGACATGTTTGTTTAATAAAAAGAGCTTGAAACTTAAAAAAGAAAATAATAATTTATAGTGATTTTTTTTTTTGGGGGGGGGGTCATTTTTAGTTGATCGGTTGGTAGCTGGAAGCTAAAACAAATCACTTTTTTGTAATTTAGGCTCAGATTTCTTGAATTGCATTGTTAACGCTTACAGGTGATAGTGCTTTTTTCAGGTATCATTAATACATTCTCAAAAGATGTCGCCATATCAATATTAATTAATCTTCTATAAGAACATCGAAGCGCCAGTGGAATATCAATAGATCATATTGTCTTTTCAGCCTAGACTATTGTTTTTTTTTTTGTTTTTTTTTTGTTTTGTTTTACATATTTTAAGCATAAAATCATTGTCGGTATAATGCTCAAAAATAAATAAATAAATACTGCGTGTATCTAGCTGTATTTTATTTCTATAAATTGTTGCAAGTTCAATACAAGTCAAAGTGACTTTTTATCGCGAGATTTCAACATTAATATCAGTGACTACTGTTTTTAAATGTATTTAATCTATTGTTTTAAGGTAAGGTTTGCGTTTACAGGGAGATAACTCTTGCGAATCACCAAAGCGTTTGAAACAGGCGAATTTAAACCAGCGATGCTAAGCATCTCAGTAACGAATTTCCTCTGTCATACTTGATGTTTGTTGTCACTAATTGTTAGGACTAAAAACAAAGGACGTTTTCAGGAGAAAGTCTTATAACAAATAAAAGCAAAGGAATCTTAGAAGCCTTTGAGATTAGCGTGATGCATGTGGATGAACCAATAAAGGAGGACTTGTTTATTTTCGATACGGAACGTGGCAAGTTGCACGGCCATTCCGATCAGAAGAAAGTCATTGACGCATTGTGCTGTTGTGTGTTTCTCGCTTCACCACTACACTAAAATTTTAAGTGAGAATGGGAAAGAAAAAAGAAAAGACCTGAGAGTATCCTGTAAAGTATTATGCTATATGCAGTCCGAACAGGGAAGAAAAGTCACGGTGCATTTGACCATGTCCAATGATGATGTTGACAGTTTGATTGTTGATAGTATTTTCATCAGGTAATATTATTTAACCATTCATTTTACTGAAAGTTATGAATGATCTACTGACTACGGATTTAAAAACGATGAATAAACGGTACAAGGAATGAAGGATGTCAGGATGTGACTAATATCCCAACATTGCCAAAAAATAAAAATGCATTCATTCAAGAATTTATGAAAAATAAAATCCTTGCTTTTTAGGCCTAATATCTGTAACATTATTGAAACAGGTATTCAATTGTTCAAGTTACCTTTTTAAATGAGGTTTGATTTTAATTAATATCTCATTTTCTAATGAATAAAAAAAAAGATACAGATTGTGCATGACAAGAACATTAATTTTCTTGATCAAGCATTTGCATTTCACTAATTCAATCTGTAAATTTTATAATAATTTCAAATTGATTTTTCATTTATTATATTGGAAATTTATTCATTTCATTGAGTGAATGAAACTCAGTGCAATTCCTTATGCAATTCCAAAAATGCAATTCCTTAAATGTTATTGTAAAAATGAACACTTATGATTTCAGATCATGGGTCATTAATTGGAATAGATAAGAACCAAAAACAAAAGTACTTCAGTGTTTCCTTAAAAGATTTGTGCCATCAATCAAAGTAGAGGACTAGAGGTCATCCCATATCAGCTCAAGAATATTAAAGAAAGTTGGATGGATCAAGCTAAGATGTTGAACCAGACATGGCAAAATCAATGGAGATTTGGAGAAGAACTTCTGACTTGTTATACCCAATGTATATTTTTATGTCTATAGATTATAGAAGAAAATTTAATGTTTAACAACATCCTATCTAGTATATACATGCTGTTTTCCATATATTTAGAAAATATGTGTATGTGATGATTACAGTGCATGCTCTGTTTGTCCATCTTTGAATTTGTTTTCAGTAAAATAAATGTATACACCATAGGTATTAATTTAAGGTTGCTTTTGTTTATACTTACATGTAACAAGTTTCTTAAAAGGGGTTAGTAAAATTGCAAGGAAATTAATACATGAACAATTAAGATTAATATTTTTATTCATTAAATTTTGTTCTTACCAGGACCTAATATGCTCAAATAAGTATTTCTGAAAACTGATGAGTTTTGTACATAAATCTGTATTGAACATGTATAATTATATCAACTGTAACAGTTTAAAACATGACACTTGGAAATTGTAAGGTTGTTAATTAAGTAGGAATGATAAGACCAGTTTAGTAATCTACTAAAATTAAAATCTTTCACAAATACATGTACATGTAGTTTATTTTAAAATTGTTTACATTTATAATCTTTTAATTTTTTTCTGTATTTTGATTTTAAAAAGGAGAAAATTTTGTTATATTTAAATTATTTCATGGATATCAAGGAGATATATTTATCACTGTAGCATTGTTTCTTTTCCCTGTTCTTGACAAATATTTTTGACAGTGTTATGTCATTTTGCAGAATTTGCCTTTTTGCTGAAATCAGAAGTACTCTGTAAACTAATTAAAGTATGAATTGATGTCACTTAGAATTCATCTTTATTTTGTTCTGTCTGATATTTCAATTTAGATTCTCAGACTACCTAATCCACTGATTGAGCTAATGTCCATGAAGTGTAGAAATAGGCCATCTTTAAAAAATGTTTGGTTGTTGGCTTCTCCAGACCGACTGACTAAAATGACCAGACTGAAAACTTTTTTCAATGCAGGGCCGGATTTTTTTTCTTTTTATTCTTCTTATCCCCCTTAAAAAATGTTGTTGAAGAATTTCTCACCTACCGACCCAATAATTTTACCCTGAGTCAAGAGAGGGCAAGCAAACATTACTTTAAAGATAGCATTTCTACTCTTTGAAGTAAAGAAATCATTTAATTATAAAAACAGCAGCTTCGTGGATGCAATGCTTACAACATTTCACTCAAAAAATGGCATACATGTATAATGACAGTCACCAGCCATAACTGAATAAAGATATTTTGCTACAAAGATGTCTAGAAGTTACTACATGTTGGACTAACTAAATCAGCATGAGGTCAAATTCATAGGCTTTTAATTGGTTTAGTTGCAACATGTTCTGAAGTATGTTTATATACATAAACATGTTACTTCTAAAGGTGTTGCAGTATAATTCATGGACAATTTCATCAGAATATTCAGATGTAAAGATTGCCATAAATACTAGAGTTCTTCCATGGAATAAATTTTTAGACCATCATGTAGCACAGGAAGAGTTTTATTTTGGAATATTTTTGGCCAATTTATGCCTAAAAACAATATCAAAAATAACATTTAGTCTTTAACATTCACCATGACAAGGTGATATCAATGTTGTCTTTAAAAGTGTAGAAAAAGCCTGATTTTTATGTTCCGAACCCATAATATAGCCCCTGTTTCCATGGAAATAATATTGGGGACATACATATTTTTTTAGTTCAAATTAATGAAAATGATCAAATTAATAACTTCATGGATTTTGATGGAATCGGTAGATATGTAAAACGTTGATTTTTATATTTTTGTTGCCATGGCAACGGTTTCACTTTATCAAGGAAAGTTGAAAAATCTTCTTTTTTACCCAAATGTTCACATTTTTGATAACGGAAAATTAAAAGTTTAAATAATAGAAGCATGAATTATACTAATTCAGGTCATTTTAATTATAAAAGTTTGATAATTTATAAAATAAATCAATTTTTTCAATGAAAATAATATTCGAGGTGAAATGTGAAATACGTTAACTTTGGCGTCATTTACTAAAAAAATGGGACGGGCAATATCTTTGAAAATCATATTAAATGATGAAGCTAATCTCCCTGAATAAATTGATATATAGCATGTGTGCATATTAAAAAAAATATGAGTTGGAAGGAGACGCAAACCTTACCTTAATTTATTCTAACAAATCTTATTTTTTTTTTAATTATAAATACATTTTATAAAAACGATGTATATTCACAGATCTCTCTCTCTCTCTCTCTCAATCGATCGATCGATAAAATATTTATATGCATGTAAGTATCGCCAGGGGAAATAAGTGTAAACTGTCCGAGGACTATGGATCATTAAAAAAACTTATGCTATGTCGCGCCAAACTTTACAACGCTAGCGTACTCCTAAACCTACGTCATAATTTAACGTCAATGTAAAGAAATATGACGTCATATCTAGACCAGTACCAATTTGAAAATAAAGGCCCATACTTGTGTCGAAATTTAGATATTACTGTATTTAATTTAAACTGAGATAAATGATAAATAAACGAAAAAGTTCAACATGTATTACAAAGCGACATTTTTGTCGGTTTGGCGTTGACACGGTAAACGACATTTTTGTCGCTTTGGCGTCGAAAGGGTTTTAACATTCTGATTTGACACACACGTACTCTGAAATCGACATAAAAAGATGCTTGAGTTTCTGAGTGACAATGTCTATGTGGTTTTGGAGACCAGGTCTTTCAACAATCTATTGTAAGTATCAAATATGACAGTTGTGTAAACAGAGCCAGCATATTCGTTCCCCTCGAACTTATTGCACTGACAATCAAGAAGCTCTTTCTTTCTTTTTCTTTTTTTGTTATGAAACGCATCTACATATAAGCTTTCAAAATTTCTATTTTGTGCTACCTTTAATCTGAATTACTAGTAATATTTTACAAAAAATATTTAGCCTGCACTTGGTTCAAAAGTTACAGATAAAAAAATTAGAAAATTTAAAGATAGCCTCAGAAGATTAAAAGAGCCTTAATTTTAATTGCTCAATTTAATACAAGCATGGCACACGTGTTCTGAATTTGTCGACATTTTTTCTTTCGTTTTGTGTGTATATCAAAAGCAGTTTTATCATAACAGTTCTTATGAAAAATAACTAATGACTATACCTGACTTTCTTGGCTTACTCCAATACATACGGAAAATAGCGTACCATAGATTGTAGATGCATTTCTTGCAACTGCCTGTGTGTTAAGTGTACTATTTTACAATATTTTCTAAAGAAAGAAATATAAATATATAAATTCGCATGAAATATAACGCTAGTATGCAAATTGATAAAACTTTTATATATGCTGAAAGGAAAAAGAATATGCTGGAAATTTAAACCGCATGACCGAAAATTACAAAAACTGGTTACATGAGAATCTTGATTACTGAGCACTCAAATAATGTTCAGAATTACTCAACCGTGAAATGTATGAATTCATATAGGGAACGTGGAAAAAAAGTCAAAAATACCTAATATATATTAGGTATATTATACTGTGCATAGTGATCAACTTGTGAAACATTTCCACGACTGATCTAACAAAGTGACACGCTGTTATTGTAATGATAGTAAATTGAGTACAAAGTATGAGTAAAATATGTATAGGAAAAATTGTAGATAAAATATGAAGTATATGTAAATAAGTAGCAAAAAAATAATATGTTATTGATAAACATTCGATAGATCATAGTCAAAGGTAAGCAGTAGATGCAGAAGTTAAAAGTTATACCGTCGGAAGGATCAAACGAGTCATTCCACCCGCATACTTGTACAATGCGCCAGAAGTGAGTCCAGGACGGACCACAGTGTCATTGAGATCCAAAGAAACAGCCTACATGTGCAGTTATATAATATAGACTTTGAATTTTAGAGTTTTATTTCAAAAAACAACATTTTGTATAAAAAACTAATGATGTAAAACGTAATAAATGTTATTAATACACTTAACAAAACTTCTAAGTTTAAGTCTAATAATACAAGTTATCCCTGTCAAAGACTTTGTTTCAACTCACTTGTAGATATTTGTAAATAATTTATTGCATGATTATTTTGCAACACAATTAAAAGGCCGGCAAAAAACCCAGTTTCTGTTTTGGTTTCATTTTGCATTTAATATAGGGATAACTATTTTCGATCTCTTGTTTAGCAGTACAACGAACCATTGTTCTCTTGTTTTTTTCTCGATGGCAGTGTGTTTAAATACCAGAACACAGTTTATCCTATTTACCTTAAAAGAAATTAAATTTTTGGAATGCAATTTTCGTGGAAATACAAGTAATTTAATACATTACCCAGTGTACTCTGAAGATATGTTAATGAAATATATGAATATAACTAACAGTATTCATACATTGTCAATTCTAAGCAGGTGGATTTCCGTGATCTGTATGTAAAGTAGATTCAGAACATCTTTGATATTATCATACGCAGTGGCATAAGTAATCAATCAACAGGTACATGTGAGTTTGGTAAGTATGATCAATACTATGTTATATGTTAAAATGATTTATAAGAGCTCAAGATGTCTGAAATTGACATGATTTATCATGTTTACTTGCTAAATTACGCATTTGTGATTATTTTTACTTTATTCCTTCTTCCCGTCAGCCAAAAGCTGTTCATGTACTTTCCACGAAAACTAAGATCCGATGACCACAAATTAATATAGAAAAAAGTAACGATAGTTTCACACAAGAAAATCTTTAAACTTCTAAAAGAATTTAAATTAAACTATCAACTGTTACAATACTTCAAAGGAATGACCAAAAAAAAATAAACTTGAACAGGATGTTTTTTGGTTTTCTTTTATTTAAAATACATGAATAAACATGAATTGAATGTTTATAAAAAAAAAACAACCTCAGAAATAGTTTATTCTATACAAACAAACATTTCCCCCCTTGAAAAAACTTTATATATGAAAATTGCTCACGAATTTGTAATATTTGAATAAGCATACCTTAAATGTAAATAATGGCATACAATATGTCTGAAAAAACGCAAGAGGTGGGATCAGGTGCCATGGAGGAGTGAGCATATCATGCCTACCAGTCACATCCGCTGTGTACTCTTGTCATGATCGGGAAATAACGAGAATTTCCAACAATTCAGTGCGAAAATAAAGACCTAACAATTAGTATGAAAATCGCCAGGTCGCATTTGACTTTATGATAGGTAGTACTTGTTGACATGGTCATTAGAATTTGCGATATTTTGACTTTGAACAAGATTTTAATATTCTTATTTCATCCAATTGTTTGTCAAATGCTTGTCTTAGAAAAATTCATTCGTTGAGCAAACCCTTCTTTATCAAATTAACTGTGGACATAATTTCCATATGCAAGTGATAAAGGTATATTTATACATTTAAATAAGGGAAGTTGACTATAGAAAATTTAAAGTCATCATGATAAGGGTCATGATAAAGTCTCGCTGTTAGGTTACCAATGATGTATTTGTTCTATGCATGTCGTACTTCTAGGTATCTTTTATTTCGAGCTTACTTAAGGAATGAAGCTTATTTCAACTTTTATACGATATAACATAATTTGGGACAGTTTACGCTTTATAAATCACGAAGTCCAAAGTTAAGTTATATTGTATAACATACGTTGAAATAAGCTTCATTCCTAATAATTCAATTTCAATGTAGACATAAAGACATTTTTTAATTTCCTCCAGAAAAACGTTTCAAATTGAGTATATTTTAAAAATAACGTCAACTGCAGAAATACGTTTTTGAAGTAACTCATTGTGACGTCGGTAACTTATGATATACGAGATGGATTTAATATTTTACCTTATCAAATGACTTGTTACATCTAAAATTAACATTTGTCGATGTATTGACAACTGTTATTAATTAACAATAATTATTTCCATTCATTTGTCAATAAATTCCAGTGAAATGCAAGTTACCACAGAGTCTGACATAAATCTGTTTCATATTTGGATATTTTACTCGACAGTCTTAAGGAGGTTGGCTCATTTCATCAAATGTATCGAGAATTTTTTGTCAAATATACTTTTAGAATCAAAACACATATCTTAATAAAAATCATAACAAAAAATGGGGGTCAGTGCGCTTCTTGTAGCACTACAGACTAATTAATATGACCTTTTTGCATTGTAATTAAGTCTAACTCATAAATAATTTTTCAAAGTTTTTCCTTCAATATTTTTTATCCAAATGAATTATTGGAACAAACACAGTCTTCTTTCATCTTGAATAGTCACATTAAAATTTGTGACAACAAAAATAGTTTCAATTTACTTCGCTTAGTGAATAATTTGACCTTTCTGCTCCCAAAAAAATATTTTTTTTCTGATGTTCAAAATTTAAAAAGCAATAAAATCATTTGAAAGTAATGTCATTTTTTTTTAATTAAAGCTGAGTGGTTAAATATATCTTATATTTTCAGAATATGAAATAAAAAGTGGGGGTCTGTGATGTTGATTTTAAATATTAGTAAGCTTTAAGTAAGTTTTAAGTTTTAAGCTTAAATGTGGCTTTTTTTTTTCAAGGACCTTTAGGATAAATTTAAAATATTTACAAATATGATGATAGAAAAGTAAATTTAAATTTGATATATAATTTAGGACCAGCATAGAACATTTCACTACACAAAATTATTCTTTGTGCAGGCTGCATGTTAAAAAACAGGAATCCAAACTTAACAATACTGAATGCTTCGAAAGAGGAAAAATTGATCTGTTTCTTCTAAAAAAAAAAAAACATTCCGCCACAAAACATAGTTACACACCAAATGTTTTCTTAATGGAATTTAATCATGGGGTTTTAATTGAATATAGTTAAATTAGCAATATAGAATCCAAATTTATTGTGAGAACTAGAAAAATTATGTAGAATTTTTTTTTAATAGAAGCTAAGCAAAAATCTGCTGAAAAGCTGAGAAGCGACCCTCGTTCAATATTTTATTTCATTTCGATACTAATTGCTAAGTATTCTGAAAGGCCCAGGGCGCCTATAAATCAATTTGCTTATTTTATTACTAAAATTAAACTGTTAGTGATACAAGTCAGTATTTTATCGTAGTTTGTCTTTTTGTTGGCAAAAGCTGAAAATATATATTGTTTAAATATTGGTTGCGTTAATATACTAAAGTACTCGAATATTTCATTATTTGATACCTGTAACTCCATTTCTTCTTTTTACACATCCAATTTTCTTTAAAATTGAAGCCACTAACTGTTTTCTCTAGTAAACAATTGAAATAATTTCATATTTGAATTTAAATAGTAATTTTTCAGACATATTTGAAATTGAACCACGGGTAATATGGGGGAATGGTATGATTCGGTCCAATTACAGCCATTTGAGCACCAGGTCAGTGGACATACAGGGATCTTCCGGTTTGACGACCAGACTTTGTGTAAGCCACTTGCAGTCAGGGAATACAACTTCTACCTCACCATGCCTCCAAATCAAAAACAATTTACGGCAGAGTTCAGAGGTAATAATGTTAAATTCTCTATCATCAATATCCACTATATCCAAGTATGAATGCACATCCTGTATATGTAATTTCCACTTCTGGTTTTGATGAGACACATAGACCTTACAGTAAAAATCTATTCAGATTTTGATTGATGAACACACAGTAACTATAAATATTGAATGTAATGTTTTAAAGAAATATCTTTAGAATATATTTTTATCATACAATACTTTTCTAAAGCCTTCTTTCTTCTGTCTTTTTAGAAACTATAGAGGGAGAGGTTTGTGAAGATTGTGAAGGTCACGTGACGATCCTTTGTCATCGCCCTTTGTTCAAGTCACCAAGTCATGAGAAAGCCAGACTAAACCAAGAGAAAATTGCAGAAAAGGAGAGTCTTCGTAGGTATGTACATGTAATCAGAAAGATAAAAAAAGACTCTTCCAATGATTTTAAATGGAACTTCCAACTTCAATATTTATTTTAAAAAATAAGGACATATTTAAGTTTACTTGCATACGGTGTAAATTGTTAGCACGCAACCATTACGCTTTATAAATAGGGCCCAATAAAGAACCATTTGTGTGTGATTTAAAAAAAATGAGGGACTTTCGGATGAAATCTCTTCCTTGGCACCTGATCCTACCTCTGATGTTTTAGAGGATCGTTTTTGATCTGCTCCTATTTTACATTATTTCATGGAATTTTGATCTGAAATACTGGTCCTTATCTCTGTATGTTTCTTCTTAAAAAAAGCAGAACTAGGAAAAATTATTAAGATCCCTTAAAGATCAAATTCTCTGATTGCCAGTTAAGTTCTGATATGGCACCCCTTATGGGCTTAATAATCTTGCAAAGGATGTAAAATTATGTCAATCGAGCAATCAAAATTATTTTGCGTTTTCTGCAGCGCTTGAATAATTGCAATATAAAATCCTTGTTTTAGTTTGCAGCATTCATTGAACGGTCAAGATAAAAAGAAACCTCAGACAGACCCAGCAGAAAATCTTGACCCCATCTACGATCTCAGACCAGAAAAGCTCAACCCTTGGATTCCACGTTGTCACAAGAAGATGTTGAAAAAACTGAGGAAGTCTAATCAGAACCCGGACCTACACTGTAGTATCCTTCCTTCTGTAAAACATGACACAAGACATCCTTAAATATTTCTTACCTCATACGTAGATATATAAGCATATTTACTTACCCAACTGTTTTTTTTTTAATCTCTTTATGAAATTTAAGTGTGTTGATTTCTTCATAATTACGTTATGTACGTTTTTATTTTCATGTAAAAATTTTAAAGAATCGTTGTCTAGATTGGCTAGTTGGTTTGCTTTGACTGGGACATTAACGACATTTGGGGGCGTGGGATGACAGACCACTTCTACAGAAATTTAATCTTTCAAAATAACGTATATTTAGCTGTCAACTATCATTTGGGCATATATTTTAGTTTTAAAATTTTATCATTTTGTATATTTATAAGCTCTCCTTTTAAAGGAGAGAGAATGGCTAAAAATGGTTTTCAAAGAGAGAATAAAGTTTTCAAAAGAAATAAAGTAGTAAATATTACGTACTAGTATATAATAAAATATAATATTAATATAATTGATGATTATACTACGACTGCTATATATCAAATTTTCTTAAAGTGAAAGTCGAAGCAGAGAAAATAATTCTTAACGAACACTTCAGAGTTTATCTTGTTGGAGAACGTGGCAGCTCAATTCTGTCACCCGAGTATTCTGGACCTGAAGATGGGAACCAGGCAACACGGAGATGACGTCTCTCCGGAAAAGAAAAAGAGATTCATGAAGAAATGCCAGAACACGACCTCCAGCAGTCTCGGAGTCAGGGTCGGTGGAATGCGGGTAATTTCATAAACAAACTTTAATCTACACCACCTAAGAATACTTTTTTGCTATTTTTAAAAGATTTTTCCTATACATTCCTATATCATTTTTTATTGTCCATTGTAGCTTTTATCTACCCCAAGGGGTCTTCATTTGAAAATAAAAAACTGAATCTACACTATCTGACAATGATTCCACACGAGTTTCATGTTTACAAACCCACTGGTTCTTAACAAGATTTTTTTAAAAGATGCCATTAATTTTTCACTAATTCATAATCATCTCCCCTTGGGAGAAAACGTGGTCCTTCATTTGAACAGACTTGAATCCCCTTCATCCAACAATACTCCGTGCCAAATTTGGCTGTATTTGACGCAGAAGTTCTAGAGTAAAAGACAAATTCGTGAAAAGTTTACGACAACGACGACGGAAGACTAGGGACAAATTTCAATTAGAAAAGCTCACTTGAACCTTCGGCTTAAGTGAGCTAAAAATAAAAGGAAACTGGTCTCCAAATAGTGCGTATATGCTTCCATTGAGAAGCTCCAACATCCTTAAACACCAATCTCAAAGAAATTATGTGTGGAAAGTGAAAAAAGTCTTGTAGTCAAAATGTTGAAAAAAGTTATAATGAGTAAAACAAATAGAAAGATTTTTATAACCCCCCGATCTAAAATGAGAGGGTATATACTGCCTGGGATGTCTGTTCATCTGTTACGCTTTTGGGGTACCCATCTCTTATATACAACTCCTCTTATTTCACTCAGTGGAATTTAATGAAACTGTCAGAAATTCTTATTTTACTTTTTGATCTGATATTTATTTTGGATCTCTCAGAGCAAACAAAGAACTTTGCCATAATAATCATAAATGGGAGGCGGGGGTATCATTTGATGAGCTCAGTGCTCACAGTACCTCTAGTTTATTTTGGATTTCTGAACTTATAAAAGTACGCCATATATGAGAAAGATATATGCCTTTAAAATTATAGACACGATGGAACTCGTAAATACTCACCTTCACATTGGTCATTTGCAAAATTATTTTGCTAAAAAACATTCTGATGTTACATACAAGTACTCTGAAGTTGATATTTAAAGATGTTTGAGTGTCCGATTGACGATATCTTTGTGCTTTTTAGAGATCATGTTTTCCAACAGTCTTCCCATGGGTACCAATTGCGCCCCGTTATAAGCAGACTTATTTTTGTATTCATATGAAGCAGAAATGGTGAAAAAAAAAACTACCTAAAAAGAGGAAAACACGTCCTGCTCTGGCCTTTAACTCAACATTTAGATATATCGACGACCTATTGTCAATAAACAATGGCTATTTCCATTCTTTTATCAATACGATTTATTTGGGTGAGCTTGAAATAAAGGATAACTCAGAATCTTACACATCTGTTTAATATTTACATATTTTGCTTGAAAAGGACAAACAACCAAGCTTTATGACAAACAAGATGACTTTAATCAATTGATTCAATACGCAAGAGCATGCTCTATGTATGAACAATTTTTAAAGTGAGATAAGTTTTTGACAAACAAGTTGATGAAACAAGAATATCAGCAGTCTCGTTTTAAGTCATCATTTCGTAAGTTCCATGGTCGATACAATGACCTTATCAGCAAATACATTTCATTAAGTCAAATGCTGACTGGCGTTTTTCATACATATTGTTAAGCCATTATTTACACATTTTTCTGTTACTTTGCATTCATGACAAGGAGCACCCTGCGGGTGTGACCGGTCAGCAGGGGATGCTCACTCCTCCATGGCACCTGATTCCACCTCTGATGTTTTGGAGGTCCATATTTATTCTGCTTCTAATTTGTATTGTTTAATGGATTTTGAGCTCGATTACTGTTTGTTATCTCCATATATGTCACACGCTTCTTTCATTTATCTGTAAATTGCTAAATATATATTTTGTCAAACTTTGATATACTTATGCAAAATAAAAGAGCTATATATGGTAAGAGTCATTTTTGGCCCCCTTAAAATCAACATTTTAGAATGCTATTCATATATGCATAATTGATTTCTATTTTGTAGAAGAGATTATATTGAAAATATTTTCAATACATTTTTGACATTTATATGCACTCACAGGCTAAATATGATGTCAAAAATTATGCAATTTTTGCAATCCAAATATAACAAGACAAAAATGGGCTTTTTCTTGATATTTTTTCTTATGGGAAACATAGAACGCAGCTTGGAACATGCAAAATTTTTCTGTGAGTAATACGTCTTGTATAGATACATCTTTGGTAAAAATATTAAGCTTGTTTTAGTTTGCGCTCAATATTTTCTGGAAGAAAGGCTGCTTGAAAATAAGCAGTTTTAAACAAAATATGCTAAAATGGCAGGAAAAAGTGAACTTTATGATGTCATATTTCTCAATTAATGGCATTTTGATCAAATTGAAAATTACCAATAAAGGTCACATGTATAGTCTTGCAAATTAAAACTATATATAAAGTAAAATTAAGATATTCATTTTAAGGGACCATTTGAGACACTTATCATATATTGATTTTTAATAGAATAGAAAATAAGAGTTAACTTTACTAGTAATCTCTACGTTACGCTATAATTCTTTTTTTAAGGTTAGCCGCAGATCTTTGGCTCGCTGGTTTAAAAAGAAAAAGGGATGGACACCAGAGACCCACAGTGCTATCCATTAAAAAACTTTCATTTATGAATAGCACTCAAAATTTTGCTGTTTTTCAATTTATTTCTCCGAATATTTTAAAATATTTCTTAATTTTTGTTGGGTTCCATTTCGGGTACAGATGGCCTATTACCAACCATTCGGGATAATGTTTTGTTATGAAAGTAGTAAAAGAATAGGAACACACATTTACTGATATTTTGTGGTGGCAGCTCAAATATACCAAGAAATTTATTTTTTAAAAGGACGTATTTTTATGCAAAATAAATGTTAACTTTTTCATGGGTGGTATTGCAGCTCTCTGGTCGTCCATTCCATTTTTTCTCTGACCAATGAGCTGTAGATATGCAGACTATGCAAACAAAGTTAATTTTTCCCCCGTTCACACAAAGACGCCGCTTTTACTACGATCAAAGCGTGGCCGTAGACGTGCCTGATCTTGATAAATTGCAGGAGAAACGTAGTGGAGTCTTCATAACATCGTGGAGAGATCTTTGTGATCATAGTAAAAGCGCGGTAAAAGCGTAGAAACTTGTGGAATACGCTCCTACAACGCTCACACTACGTTCTTATAACGTTCCCACTACGATTTCTCTGCGTTCCTGGCGATCATACGAAGACCTACAATGACATTACGCCGATCCTATCACGACCTATCAGGCAGCAGTTTGTGTAGCGCTGATATTTGAAAAAATCATCAACTAAATGTAAAGAGTGACACTATATTTGACGATCATTCGCAGTTGAAAATTCGAACTGTTTACTTCTTGTTTTAGTTGCATTTGAAAATGCCATATAAACTACATGGTTAAGGCCGTAAAAATTCTGCGGTTGCAGATATACATGTACATCATCGCCAAAATTGTCCTAGAAGCGGATTTCAATCGTTAAATGATTGGCACTTACAGTCATCCAGGTCTGCGTAGCGTCAAGATATGATCTTGAATGTCGTAGTAAACGCAACCACTGGTCGGCAACGATCTGCATAATATCGTTGTAGAAATGTGTTAGAGCTCGTTTGACGTATGGGCATCGTAGTACGGTATAGTACCATAATTTGCCAAATTACTCGATTTAGACACCGATTGGCACCGATCCGCCCCGATCCAAAATATTTTTTCAGATCGTGGCTTGATCAGGATGATCGTCATTAAGTGGCAGCCCTGTGTGAACGGGGGGTTAACCCTGTTAGTATGTAACACTTGGCACAAAAACAATGTGACATACCACAATTTCATATTACATATATATACTTTTAACTTGTTTTTAAGGTTTACCAAGCAAACTCTGATAAGTACATATGTGTCAACAAACGTTACTGCCTAGGTTTGAAGGTCGATGGTTTTACACAAACCATGCACCAGTTTCTCCACAATGGGTTTGAGCTAAGGAAGGACCTGCTTGACCCAATTATTGAAAAACTCCGAGACCTTTACCGACACATCCAAACACTTGACACGTATCGTTTTTACGGCAGTTCTCTCCTGATTTTGTATGACCAGCGTTCTGAAGTAGAGGACCGAAAGACGAATTCGAGATCGGTCAAGGTGCATGCGCAGAACAGCCATGTTGAAATTCGAATGATTGATTTTAGCCACTGCACCAAGAGTGGATTTCTGGACGACGCCATTGTCTATAATGGCCCTGACGATGGCTACCTTCTAGGGCTGACGAGCTTAATCAAAGTTTTTACTGACATGAAATGAACAGTTTTTGTATATTTATATTATTAAAATATATGGTGCTGAAGGAAACTTTCCATACAGTGTGTGTAATGTGAGAACTAAATTAAATAATACTACTTTAATATACAATCTAATTTCTATATTTTCAAGTGATTTTCAAGGACCAAAACATTTCCCAAAAAGTCTTTAGTAGTGTATTTCTTCTGTACTCTCAATTGTTGAGTTTGATTACAATGGAAACAAAAATTGTCATTAACTGAATAGTCTCAACAGAGAAACGTAAATATTCAAGATTACGACATTTTTGTGATCAAACAGCCACGGGTAGAAGAGAGCTGTAGGCAGCCTCCGGACCGTGGCTTGAGAGGATGGTGTTTGCTCTGCTTACGATTTACATTGGACTTCTGGGTCTAATTGGTGTCTCTATATTCTGTCCACTCAATAACTAAACAGATATGGTGTGGACCTTGCAAAAAATAAAAACATAACACATATTGTAATAATTTAATATGATAGAAGAATTTATCACGAATAATAAAAACATTTACCCTTTTCAGCCAGAAAGACAATGTTTGTGAAATGTAAAGGTTTTAATATAGCTTTGACGGGTAGAGATGCATTAATTTTATAAAGTAAGGATTTCTTACAATGGCGCCAACAGATAAAATCAGAATTTCGCGTATGTAGGTATATATATAATTCAGTATCATCTGGCTTAAGGCACACTTTTCAAAACAGGTCACATGATTTGTCCTTGCTAAGTCATCGGAGCGCTGTCTTTATCAAACCCAGAGCCTTTACCCACTGCCTCATTTTCCTCCTCATCAGAGAGAGCAGTCCCTATATCTTCGATTCCTTGCATTGACTTGTATTTCTTTACAACCATTGGCCAATCAACTACATCTTCCAACCTCAATGGACCATTCGCATGATGTGAAACTCGTAGAAATCCCCCTATGTAAAGTGCAAAGGTCGTTTATAGAGATCATTAAAGTTAATATAAAATGTTAAATGTATTGATTATGCACTTACCATCTGGGGCTACTTGAGTGTTTCTTCTGACAACATTTTTTAGCCACCCTGCATTGTGAGCTAACAGATCCACAGAACGGGAGTCCGAAAACGCATCAATGTCGTCATCATCGCTGATGTAATCATCTGCGTGCACATTACACAGTTTTCCTGGAAAGAGGTGTTCCATTAAAATCATTTACTAACAGGAAGAAAAATATGATAGACTTTTCTCAGTCATTGATTTATCATGTAAAAACTGTAAAACTGCGTACATTACCTTTATGCTTGTATATGGCGCGACAATACGTGAAAAGCTTAGTAAACAGATTTAGAGGAGATGGGGTCGCTGACGTCTTGTTCATGTTACGAATGAGCTTGGCGCGACCGAATTTCCACTCCGTGTCTGACTGCTGTTGGATTCGCTGATACGTGTCTGACATCATTGCAATCAATAGATTAATGAGTACGATCAAAGTTACCATCATATAAATCCCAAAGGTCACCTTGGCCATGTAAACAACCCAAACTGGACTCTGATTGGTAAGGGGAAGTCCATCTGGATCAACCAGACCAAACAGAGAAAAGAATAACAATCCAAATGACTCAATCAGTGTAAATTGAGCTACTGTCGCGTCTCCATTTCCAACGCCTAGCCCTTGGGTTGGGTCCACTACTTTTGGTGCATATACAGGCTGATATATTGCAAGTAAATGCAAGGTGAAACCAGCGATGAATATTAACAATATAACAAGAAATCGCGTCAGGTCTTTCAGTAAATCCCTAATAATGATTGCCCATGGACCAAAAAGATGATGGAAAGACAAGAAGTCTAACAATTGAACAAAACACATCAACAGGGCCCAGGCGAAGAAATAATTCCGGATAAAGATGAGCAACAGTCTCTCATTTGTGTCAAAGGCAAACGCCAACACATGGCAAAATACTCCAATTGCACTAATGCCGATGGAAATTACTTTAACCCATCCTAGTCCTCCTCTGTCACCGGGATTTGTCAATTCAGACACAAGAAGTCCTGATAACCATGACAACAGGAGCCATTCATAGACGCTAGGAATCATGGAAGCAGACTGCCAGATGGGTGCCCGTGGATAAACAACAGTCAGAAGAAATAATAACATTAAGTAGAGATGGCTAACGAGGTATGCCATGAATTTGATAATAGGAACACGATTGAACCGGTGACGTAAGGGTAACGAGAACATGAGCCAGATGACTGGAATGAGAAGGAAGGTCATGAAAACCATCACAATTTTCCAGGTGGCCCATTTTAAATTCCCCATCCATACATCTGTTAGATATTTTTGGACAGCAGGATGTGAAACTACCTCTTTTTGTTCGTTTTCTATGAGAACATCTAGAAATGGAGTTCCGTTCCAATCAACAGCCTTCAGAATATGACCTGCACTATTGGGGCTAGCTGCAATAGCCAAGAGTTCTGTCGCCATGTTTTCACAATAATCTCCCGCGGAAGTTAAATCACGTGACCTTTCCTTCTCCCTAACAGCCAAAATCCGGAAGTTGTTTGATAATCTGGCAGCAGTGTCTACTGGAGCAGGCGATAACAGAATAAACTCCTCAATACATCTGTTATGGTTATTTTTTCCACATACCATCAAGTCAAAAACAAACTGAAAATAAATATGCAACTCTTTAACTTACAAATGTTATTTTCAGAAAGAAGTGGAGTGACAAACGACAAGCCCACGGTCCTACCTTTTTATCATCCATTAGATGATTTGTGTTATGGTCGCGCCTCATGAGGAAACTAAGAACATCTGAGTGATTGGCGGCAGCGGCAAAACAAATGGGAACTTTCCCATCCTTTGTTTCAAACTTGGGAGATGCACCACTCTCTGTAAGGAGCTTAACGACGTTAAGATACCCCGCTTTAGCAGAGAAATGGAGGGCCGTCCAGCCATTCTTGTCACAAGCATTTATATCTGCTCCTTGACCTAACAATAACGCCACCATAAAGATATGGCCGTTCGCCGCCGCTAAATGGAGAGCTGTTCTTCCTCGTTTATCTTTGATATGGAGTTGGGATGTTGATTTGCTTAACAACAAGGAAACGACTGACGTATGTCCGCCCTGTGCTGCTAAATGGAGTGGGATGGCACCCTATGTTGTGTAATGGAATCAACTATTATGGCTTGTTTGAAAGGAGCTAAAATTTTAAAATAACAGCACAAAATTTTAGTTTACCTGTAAATTTGTGGACACATCTGCTTGGACGCCAGGTGAATTCAGCAGAAGACGAACCAAGCCCTCATGACCTGATTGTGCAGCCAGATGGAGCGGCGTCAAACCAGACTGAGGGTACGATATCATATAACGGATTACTTAAGCAGGTCATTTGATTTTCTGCTTCTAATACAGTGGGAAAAAAATAGATAAAAATATATTCTTCCGAATTACCTCTGCCCCGAGATCCTTCAATCCAGAATCCCCTCCCCCAGGGTATTCACTTTTCACGGTTGCTGGAACTTTGGTCAACATTTCTCGTACGAAGTCGACTTGTCCATAATGTGCAGCACAGTGAATAGCACTCAGACCAGTCTGCATACATGTAGTATGATTAATGCTATTTTCTCGGTTAACTTATTGTTTTTTTATATTTTCAATAGATATCGTTTATAGATTTGAATCACGATTGATTTTAAAGAATTTTCTAATTGAAACGGAACTAATATGATATTATACTCATCAGTCATCAACAATAAGACATTTTATACAAATACATGTATTTTGATGTGGTGTTAAACTTTTTTCATTAAACAAAGTTTCCGCGAATATCTAAGGATTACCTATAGACTGTCATTCGCTGTCTGTTGTTAATGTTTTGCGAGTTTGATTTGTGAACTTTTTTTAATTGTACTTACTTTTTTGCTGGTAGTTCTCCAATTAATATGACTATCTAAAGCTTCAAGAATATTAACGTGACCGTGTTTGGCACTCAGATGAATAGCGGTCATTCCATCCTATAAAAGAAGAAATATATCATTAAAAAAATTAAAAGACTTTTAGGACTAAAACATAACTTATTTTTTATTTATGTTTATAAATCAGAATATCGTTTTACCGCGTTTTCATCCGCAGCCGATGCTCCTGCTTTTAGGAGTACCTCCACGACTTCCTTGTGTCCCCCGGCCGCCGCCAGGTGGAGCGCTGTGGAGTTGTTTGTCTGAAAACCAAATTATAATTAACATTCTTTTCTTTGTTTGAAGTGTTCTTTAAACACCAAAAATTAATTCCTGGTATTGATTTACAAAAGAATAAGAGTTTTAATTCCTCACCCTGTTTCTGGCAGTGGTTACAACGGTCTTATTGAACTTCATAAGTTCCCGGATGACAGCCACGCTGCCTTTTGCAGCGGCTATGTGGGCACATGTCATACCATTCTATAGCAAAAACACAATTGTGTCTCATACATGTAATAAAGTGGTAGAAATCAGAATTGGAATATTTTTCATCTTTTGGATTACATGTACAATATTTGTGATAGCATGCTAGTGTGATATTAACTGTTAGGGTCATTTGAATGGACATGCAAATTACTATCACTAGATTTTGGCGCATTCATGCAATGGCATTAAAGCTACACGCTGTTAAAATTAGGATCTAAGGGTATTGGGGGTATCAAGGATGAGGGAAACGCAATAGTGATTTTTTTTAACTATCTACCAGTAAATTGTGTGGTTTGTTTATTTATTTTGACTTCATTTTCACATGCACGGTTGAACACATCAAAACATGCAATGTATACTTACTTCATCCTGAATTAAACAAATAAAATTATTGAATGTAGTCTGGTTTGAGTTTTTACGAGCAATTTACTTAATTTCATCGGATAGAATAATACAATGATTTATAACAATGAATTTCTGTGATTTATTACCGTGTTTGCCATGGAGACGAGCTCTGGTCTATGTTTCAGGAACAACTTGACAACATCTGAATGATCATTTTCTGCAGCAAGGTGGAGCGGTGTTTGTCCATGCTACAAAAATTAGTTTTTCATGTCCATACAATTTACAACTCAAAAAAGGAAAACTTCTCTGAAGCATCCATCCCAACAAAGAAAGAACCAAACATCAGCACTTACTACGTCAGTAGCGTTTGCGTCCGCTCTCATTTTCAACAATGTGTTACAAACCTCCATCTTTCCACATTGCGCTGCCATGTGTAATGGAGTTTGCTTCGCCTGGAAGTTGAATAAAAACAACTGTTACGAAAGGGAGTTGACAACTTTTTCCGTAAATTTTTCAAAATAAATTGCATTTCACTGACACATCAATAAGAGGTATATTTTACCAATGACAAAGCGTCAATCACAGCGCTATGTGTCTCTATCAGCAAGCGAACTAAATCATTGTAGCCGTTCTGTGCCGCTAGATGGAGTGGTGTCAGCCCCAGCTTGGATTTAGCATTTACAAAGGCCTTATGCCATAGTAGAACGTCGGCAACTTGTTCATGTCCGTTTTCTGCCGCTAAATGGAGCGCTGCTTTTCCATGGTACTGCAAGATGAAATGTAATACTTAGAAACTATATTGATAATCCTTCATATCTTAAGCAGAAAAAAAACCATTCTCATGTATTACAAGTTAATTGGATAGATAAATCCTTGATCTTAGCCAAGCTCAGTGGAATGCACTAACGGACGTTAAACGGATGGGAAAATTTTTAACCCATTATCTTCGCATGCATTTTTGTCTGTTTCTAGTTCGCTTAAAGATCAATAGGCCTATTAGTACGGTAAGCATCGCTTTCCATGCGTTTTGGTATGAACCTCTGAAACGATGAAGTCCGATGCTAATCGTATAAGATTTTTTTTAACCGTTGGTCGATCATGGCGGAGGACAACTTTAAATAGCGCATTACCAACAAATTGCTTTCCACCGTTTCATATCAAAAAATGTTGTTTGATAGAATCCTCACCTCATCAAAAACGTCAACTCTTGCATGGTATTGGAGAAGGATTTTTACAATCTGAAGATGTCCTTGCTCACTCGCTACAAGTAATGGGGACCAACCGTTCTAAAATTGAAATATGTAAAATACCAGAAATGCCAAAGATATCTGAAAGAGTTAATGTCATAGAAACCAGAGATCACCATTACCTTAGATTGTTTGTTAACTGCGTTCTGGATGCTAGTATTACCAATGTGCTTCACGATCTCCAGCAAAATATCCTCATTCCCCGCACGTGCACAATAATGCAGAGGAGTTTCGTGTGTCTAAATTGGGACATAGTAGGATGAATGCTCTATGTTTTTTATAGAAGACAAGGAAGGAAATTTCTGAAAACTTTTTGATGTTTGATGAAGTTATACTTGGAAAAAGTACTCACAAGTTTGGTCTGTATTTTCTTGTCCCCATCATACTGAAGAAGTAACCTCATTATGTCCGTGTCTTCAAACTCAAAATGCGTCATACTTTTCACAAGTTCTGCTGCATAGTGCACTGGTGTTTCCCCCTCCTGTAGGGAACCAACCACAAGATGGTAATGATAAAGATGGAAGAAAATGTCACCACGTCGTTTGAAAGTTTATATTGTTGATGCCGGATTTGATAGTGACTTACCCAGTTCTGTTGGTTGACCAACATGACGGCGTCTATCCGTGATGACGTCCTGCTGACGTAAGTTAAAAGTTCTGTAGCGACGGCCAGGTGACAGTGACGAACGGCAACATGAAGTGCAGTTTCTCCGCTCTATATAAAGAAAAGAAATTGCAGGATAATTGGCCACCTTTACTACATGCAAAACAATACACATTTAAAGAGGATCTGCATTTGAAAAAGCATTTTTTATAAAGAGGGGTCCCTTACTGACCTTGGATTGTTCCGTTGGGTCGCCGCCCTCTTCCAGAAGAGCTTGTACCATTTTCAGTTGTCCGTTTCTGGCAGCAATGTGCATAGCAGTCTCACCGTTCTGAAATTTTTCACAGAATTGAAAAAAGGTCAAATTAAACAGAGGAACAATGTGATATATCTTCTATGTGAAACACATACTTCTCTGACGGCATTGACATCTGCTCCACTTTTCAACAACATTTCTGCGCATTTTTCGCCATCTTTAGTCCTGGCAGCGATATGGAGAGGTGTTTCTCCGGCCTGAAAATATTACGAAAACAATAAAACAATGTAAGAACATTCTGAATCCAAGTATGAAAGATCTGGGGAAAAGTATACTTTACCTTTCCACCTTTGAATTCTACTTGTGCACCGTAACCTAGCAACATTTGAACCACCTGCGGTTTGCCATACTCGACCGCCAGATGAAGCGCTGTATATCCATCCTGAAACGATTTTTATATATCCGTAATAAAATGAAAATATTTTTCGATCAATTCAAAATAAATGCAATAGAAGTCCATGACTTACCTTTGTTTTTGCATCAACAGACGCCCCTTTAGACAACAAGGCCCTGACAACATTGGTATGTCCCCTCATTGCCGCTGTGTGTAGACAAATGGCACCAGACTACAGAGAAAAATGTTAATAAATTTATCTCATTTTTGGGAAGAAGCATTGGAGTGGTCAATGCAGCCCTCTAAAATCCTTGATACATTTACCTTGTTCGGCATGTGAAGAGGTACTCCTTTCTTAAGAAACGTGAGGGCGGTATCAGGGTGGCCGTACTGAGAAGCGATGTGCATCAGAGTGCTTCCGTCTTTGGTACGGGCAGATATGGACGCTTTACATTTGTCCACCAGAAGGTCCACAATAGCGGTGTGTCCACGTTCAGCTGCGATGTGGACAGGCACGCGGTCAAGCTTGAAAAAACGACATCATTTCAAAATCATAAACTTGAATTCACAAGCTTATAATCATTAAAAATATTATTAAACAGTTTGCCAAAATAGCTTCGAAAATGTGTCGAATATGATTTCAAAATAAATTGTGAATGGTAAATGATTTCATATACTTTTTCTTTTACTTGTAGAAATTTATTCTAGTGATTTGCTGTAAATAAATGCAAACAGATTCATATATTTTTGTGTCTAGCTTCGTACTTTGTCGGTTAGATTTGGATTTGCCTTCATCTGGTACAGATACTTCACCATTGCGTCATCTCCCTCCCACGCAGCGATGTGCAATGGAGTATGACCATCTTCCTTAAAACCGGAAATGACATTAGTAATGACATCAGTACTTTGTGAGTTTATTCAGAATAAGAGATGATATTTTTTTCTACTCACGTTCCTTATGTCTACTGGAGAGCCAGCCTCTATCAACATTCGGGCCAGTTCTATGTCTTTTCGTCTGCAGGCAATGTGAAGAGCAGTGTCCCCATTTACCTGTTTAAGCAGAGATGATGCGAGGAGGACAAGAGAGATTTATATAAGATCTATTCAACAGCATAAACCTAAACTTAAGTCTATACTTCTTTAGATAAGGGTTTCGATTAGTGTAAGTCTTAGAGCTTTGAAAACGTTCCATGTAACAATTTGAGACCAGTGTCTATCTTTAAAAAAAAATTACTCAGTAATTTGAACTTTTGTCCATATTTAGCCGGGCTTATTGCTCAAAGAGCAATTGCCGGCTTATGTCATCCTGTTCAAGACAGGATGTCAACCCCATAGTCGCCATTTTAAAGTTACGTGTAAAAATATAGTTCTTACTCTCAACCGCTTCTGAGATAATACAAACGCTAAATAAAGCAAAATAAATATAACGAAGTTTTATCTAAATAAACAAACATTAGTAGCAATGACTTTGAAAACTTCAGTCTTAAGTCAAAGAACCTAGTTTATTAGCGTAAGGATTTCTGATAATCAGTGTTATCGTAGTTCTCTACACTAACGAGGAAAAACAGGAGAGGGAACCAGACTGGCCTGTTTGTTTACATTCAGCCGTAGTACCAGATTAATTTTGATTCTGACAATATCGGACCGTGGTATTTGGATCAAAAACTGTGTCTTATAATTTATATTGCTAGTTTTAAAATAATTTTTTCATCAGAATTTTTAATCTGATTTTCTTGTTATTTATCTGTTAATATAATATAAACGTATGAGTCATGTAAGAAATTCATTTTACTCTGTAAATGAGCCCGGCTCTCTGTACTTCTGAGTACTTTGATTTTGGTTAGGGATCATAAATGCATTTTCTGAATTACTCGGTGAGACTGAATAGATACATTTTCTAGTGTGTGGAAGCATTGAATTTCAAAAACAAATATCTTTTTTCTTTCTCGAAAAAGGTTGCAAACCAAATGTATGAAAGAATCAATACTGCAGTTGAAAGATTTTGAAGATTCTAACGATATTCAATACAGGGCAGTTATCTTTATCTATTTTACCTGAGAAGTAGGTTTTTAATCGACATAAGATGACAAAGCAAAATTGCACCATGTATCAAAAATTATCTAATGGGGTTCTTTTGTGAGGTATAATGATCATTTTTAGTCACGATTGCATGTTTCTACTGGCCTGTTGGCATTATGTTCACATTTAGCCGATAATCTGTATAAACTACACTTAATGTTGCAGAAACTGGCATTCATTTCACTCCCACGAGAGAATAAGAATTTCCCATAAATAGTTTTCAGAAATCAACGTTCTAAGATTTCAACCACGCTGAGATTGTTTCAGATTTGTTCAGATGCAGCATCTAGTGGCAATGCTATATAATTCTACAAAGACTACTTCTCAGCTGAATTATTTACAAGAAAGCACAGACATGCATAAAAAAAATCTAGAGTTTCCTTTCGCCGGGCTACAGAAGCACACCCGTACTTTTCTCTGGAGGTGAAGCTGGGACTCCGCACACTGAGAAAGTAGTTCCTTACAAACCGCTGTGTTACCTGCCTCCGCCGCCAAAAATAGAGGGATGCAACCATTCTACCATAAGACAGACATCAGCAATTTAGAAAAATAACAATAAGTATGAGTATAAACTAAAAATAGCACCTGTAATCGTTTTTCTCAGTGTTTCAATGAGATAAACTTTTCAAAATTTATTTGAAATCAATTCAGCTTTTTTTCTAAAGTAAGAGATGTTTTCTGATTTTTTTTTTTTTTTCAATTTTACGCAACCAGTGTTTGACTGACAGATTCATACTTTATCTTGAGTGAGCCTTAGGTCCTTGTTGGAGTTTTTCAGCAGGATTTGTACAACAGACATTGCTCCACTCTGACGAGCACCTGCCATGTGGATGGGTAGCTGGTCATTGGGCTGAACAGAACAACACAACGATAAACTATGTCTAAGATTTATTTAATGTACGAGGGCCGTTCAAAAATTACGCGGACTGTGCTATTATTTACTCTTACAGACGTCATAAAGTTATGAAATTTCACAGAGATATGTATCTCAAAGATTCCAATAAATTTAAGGCAAAATTTCTGTATTTTAAAAAAATTACACTAAAATTATCGGTATATTGATATCGCTGATTTAGAGGTACGGAGCACGACAAAAAATTTGAAGCAAAAGCATGCGGAATCCAAAATTTAACTCATTTGTTTTCTATAATTCTCAATATTTTTCGACAATTTTCTCAAATGTATCTTTAAATTGATCTATTATTGTGTATTTGGATTTCTGGCGTGATATTTGAAGTACTAATAGAAATATAGTGATTTTCCTCTGATGCGATCCCCGTGAAAACGACTGTGAAAATGACGTCTCGTGAATTGACGGCGCACCACACTTTAGTTAAATTATAAGTAATGCTCGAGATATCGCCAACATAGATCCAAAATATGCATAATAAAACATGTAGTAAACTAGGGAAATCGTGACATTCGTTCACAAATAGTAAATAGGAATTTTAGACCATTAGACCTCTGTAAAATGGCTATACGGGAGGACATGAAAAGGATTATCGACGAAATCTTTATCTGGAATGTAAAGAACGTGATTGAGAGTCATCAATATCCCACTACATCTCATAAATACCTGCAGTTTTTAGTTTCAAAACAAAAAAAAGAATATTCTTTACTTGTTTAATAGTTTAAAGCTTGACAAGAAATCCGTTTTGATGTTGAGTAGATAAGATGACTCAAACTGTACAGGTACTCTTGGGAAAATGTTGAAAAATTGAAAGTTCAATCACATATTTTTTTTATAATGTCTGTGACGTCGAGGATTTTGCTGCTCCGTGACTAAATGATATGTCCTGAAAAATCACTCAAAATTGATATTGATTTACAACATTTTGATATGAAGTTTTGTAGACCATATAAGTAAAGATTCTTTTATATTATGTGCAACATTTTGCCCGATTATGTCGTCAAATATTTTTTCTGTGCAGCAAGTCCGCGTAATTTTTGAACGGCCCTCGTATTTTAAACAGCTTTTATCCGCGTGCGAGAATTGTTTGCAAGTTTTGCGACATACTTAACTCGCGAATATTAATCGCCGTACGTGAACCATAGAAAATATTTTAAAAAAAATGTTTTTTCAGTTTGATTTCAAACAGACGATCAATCGAAAGATATCACTAATAATAGTTGGTTTACAATTATTGTTGAACCTCCAATTCACTGATGATGACAACTTCGGCGAAAAGTACAGCCCTATACATGGGTGGAATAAAACTGACTAATTCTTATAATACTGGTATATTTTTCCTAGATATAGAATTTTATCCCCAATAAAAGAGTGGAATGATAAGTGCAGTCGGTTAACTCCCTGCTACTTTATATTCAAAAGTAAATTTTTACATCCTGATGCGAATTTCTTCCAAGCGTTTCTTTTTTCCTATTTCTCACACTTGTAAACCAAACTGATGATTAAAAATTTAATCTGTTGTGTAATATAAAACAGTTCAAGACACAGAAGGTAGCAATCTTTGCAATGCAGAAACTTCTGTATTAGCTAGTTACCCAATGGTTGAACAACAACTGCAAAGCCAATGCTTAAACGTATAATTTATACGACTCTACAGTTACTAAATTCAAATCAAAATGAAACATTTATGCCACAATAAAAGGAACGGCATGTATTTTTGTCATAAAACTACCGCCTTAATGTTTTTTCTACAACGATTTCTATTTTCTATATTGACAAATTCCAACTCAAACCTAAAATAAGCAGTTACCGGCAAAAGTTTTGGAAAAAATTATCGAATACGACCCTTTTTATCTCTACCTCTAATTTAAGTATTCCAAATCAAACACACTTCAAAAATTCGATACGAGTGTCAACAGGGTTTAAAGTCTCGAAAGGCGTTTATCTTAACTGTTTCATTTACAAAAATCGGGCATATTCTCAGACATTTAAATTTTTTCAATAAATTCATAGATCGTCGGTTTGAAAGAGTCTTTCCCTCTCTCTTTAAAAATAAGATAAAAGGATGACTGTAATCTCGTATCTTTGATTTCATCGGTATTTTTACTTTAATTGACGGATTTGATGAAGTGCGTCAGCTGTCAAGGTAAATACACTGTCTTGACTTAGGTATCATCAACTTCAAAACAAATAAGACCGAAGATTTACACGAAATTTCCATCGCCAATTCAATGGTAACGTACACGGGAACATGGAGGGATTCATCGATCTACCAACTTCCGGAAATGAATGATGGCGCCTGCATCAGATTTGCATTATCATCTCACTAGTCCAACCGCGGGAAAAGAGGAAATGAATCGCTGGAGGTTGTGTCACACCGCGAAACAAAATAGAGCTGTCTATTAAAATCGCGTAAACTGGTATCTGATTCATGTGATGAGAAAGAGAGATTCCACAATTAATGATTAGTGGTGCATCACTCATCCCATAGCACTATGGTGACACGAAAAAATCTTTAGAAATTTGAATTAAGCAATTAAGCAATTATAGGAATTGATTAAATTCTTAATATGAACTTACACCACCGGGTATCGTTTGATCCGCCTTCCTGTTAATAAGTAATTTGACCACATCATCTTTGGCAAATGTTGCCGCATAGTGTAAAGCAGTCCGACCGTCCTGAAAAAAGGACGAATAATTCAAAACAATTAAACAGAATATAGATATGTGTATGTATAAATAATCATGTTAACGAAATGTAACGCATGGAAAATGTGGAGATAACGAACAGAGCAAACACGGACCTCCAAAACATTGGGGTGGGATCAGGTGCCATGGAGGAGTGAGCATTCCCTGCCGACCGGTCACACCGGCCGTGAGCTCCTTGTAATGATCGGGAAATAACGAAAAAAAAACTTCATCATTTGATTTGATGAATTTTTTTAATTTGCTGACAGCTAGGTCATTGTATCGACCATTGAACTTTCGAAATGATGACCGGTCGGCAGGAGATGCTCACTTCTCCATGGCACCTGATCCCACCTCTGATGTTTAGGAGTTCCGTGTTTGCTCTGCTCCTATTTTATATTGTTTTGTGGACTTTTGATCTTGAATACTGTCCGTTATCTCCAAATGTTTCATTACCAAACTTAACAAAAATGTTTGTTTTTTAAATCATTTTTTATGATTTTTTTAAAATAATCAATGTACCGATATGTGTTATTCCGAACTGCAAATTCAGAATTGTACAGAGGACAATTGAAAAAAAAAATAGTTCAATAGGCCTAAAAAGAATTTTGTTTTTCATAACCCAAGGCACTCTTCACCCATTTTTGTCATCAGAACTACCATGTTTTAACATTTTATTAGCAATTTCACCTAGATTTAAGAATAAGTTTTCAAAATTTCGATTGTTAACAGGTTTCAAGGGACTTATAACTACTTCAGTCGTTTTGAGCTAGTGACTCTTTGGCTCATAATTGGTCAAATAGAGATGTATGATTAATGGCTTGGATTACTTTGATTTTAGGGCTGTATCACAAAGATACTACAGTTGTAGTATTGCATATTGAGATACAAATAACCTGAATGCTTTGGATATTGAAAGAATCTTATATTTGTGGATGAGTGGTTAGTAAGTTTAGTGTATTTAATTTGGACGAAGATACACTAAAAATCAATACATCTGACTTTGTAGATATAGATTTTCTGGATGAATGATCAAGTTAGAGTAAGGCCAATTTCCAAGTGGAAGTAATAGAATAATTTGATTTGAAGAGAAGTTATCATTGAAACATGAATAGTGTTCTTCTGTACGAAACTTCATTGGAATTCTATTTCGTGAAATTTTTGAAATAAAGTAATTATTTATGCCACTTGAAATGCATAAAAGATGCTGAAGAAGGTGCATTTGTCTTATGTTTTCTGGGAGATACCATGCTACAATCATCGGCAGAATTTTTTCTGTCTTGATAAAGTCATCGGCGGGTTAACCGAGCAAGACGTTTGCTAATTATTGAATTGTTAGAAATTCACATAATGAGTTACACGAATTTCTCATAATTCAGTAATAATAAAACAACACAATAATTAACAATAATTAATTAAGCTGTTTACTTGCATGGAATCGTTATCATATTTATTATCATTTTACATCAAACCCCACGTGAATTCTTGTATTTGTTAAACTGTTATTTACTCTGGTCACAAATCGTTTCATGTTTCGGTTTTCTATTGATTTTTCAAGCTTGAAAGCATAAAAATACCTGTAAAAATAATTCTGCGTAAAACAAACTTGTTTCCCAATGATATTATTATTATTAATATTGATTCTCATTGTTTTATTTCGCAATGAGAATTGAGATCCCTCTAACATTATGTCAACCGCGGACTATATGTTGAAAAAAAATCTCCTTAGCTAGATATCAATATCAATTTTACTCAAGAGCCTCAAAACTTCTTGCTATAACTTAATTGTTGAAAAAAACAACAACAGTTACTTCATGAAATTATTTCATTTTAACATTAATTTTAACATTGCTGCGAATTTTCCACAGGAACTTTAACTGATATATGATCAAACAAATTTAACTAGATTGAATTCCATGAATAAAGCATATTGTCAAGAACACTGTTTTAGAAAGGGGAGGGAGGTCATAGTATGTCGGCAGTCTTACCTGGGCGCGGTCATTAATGGGGTAATAGTATGTCGGATGACATGAGGAAGCAGTCTTACATGGCCGTGGTCATTAACGGGGACATACTATGCCAGGTGACTTACCTGGGCGCGGTCAGTATGCCGGGTGACACGAGGACGCAGTCTTACCTGAGCGCGGTCATTAATGGGGTCATAGTATGTCGGATGACATGAGGACGCAGTCTTACCTGGGCGCGGTCATTAATGTTGGCTCCCAGGTCTAGCAGACGTTCAGCGATCACCAACTTGTTCTCCCGCACGGCCACCATCAGGGGAGACAACCCACCCTCCTACAAAATATCATACTACGTTTTATAAGCATTGACACAATTTGTCTTTCAGTTCTGTATTTGACTTTACGAATTTTTTTCAATTTCACAAAGCTCTTTCTTCAACTTCACACATTGTAGCTCATCTTAAAACTTCAAAAGGAATTTTTCAGTTTAAAATAGCTTTGTTATCAGCTTCCACACATCTTTTTTTCAACTTCATTATTACAACACATTTTTTTAAACAAATTAAAGCAGTTTTTTAACTTCACACAGGTTTTTCTTCATTTACAGAAATTTTTTTCAACTGTCTTCACAAACTTTTTCTTTAATTTATTATGGACACCAGTATTTCAACTAAATCTCACTGCCGTTGTTTTTAACTCCACACTCTTTCATCATATAATTTCAAATAGTTCTTCTACAATTTGAGTAATCTCTTCTTTCATCTTTACACAGTATTTTTTTTTCAAATTCACACAGCTCTTCTTTGTATTTCACTCTTTTTTCAGCTTTTTACCTGCATACACTTACTTTCACGTCACTCAACTTAAAACATCACGCGCACTTTAAACCTTTTGAAGCCTTTTCTTCAACTTTACCCGCCTTATTTTTCAAACCCACTCTTTTTCAAATTCACTAGCTTTTCTTAGACTTTTCTAAACTCTTTTTATCAACTTCATGCATCTTTTTCAACTCCATGTAGCTCTTTTTTTAATAGAAGACAGTCTAATCCTCCCATTTTAAGACCCTCCTGGAACTGGTTTCATTGGTCAATTGGTCAATTAAGAAATGAATTAAATTTTTAAAGATTCATTAGGAAATGAACTACGACACTTCACACCGGCATATTTTATGAAGCGCGTTAGCCAGCGTGAAGCGTCGTAGTTCATGCACCTAATGAATCTTCAAAATTTAAATTCATTTCTCATATTTACATTGTTTTTTTGATCAGGTGCCACAATTCAACTGTCATTTTAAAGGCAAAGCAGTTTGCACTAAAGTTTTGACGTCAAGTACGGTATTATGACGTTACAATGGAGATATTCATGCTCGTCCAATGTAGTTCATGAGAAAATGAACAAATTTGATACTCATATTTGCAAAGAAACTTAATTGCAAATGTAAATATTTAAAAATATTTCTGGCATTATAGCGCTTTGTACATTATATAGATTTTTATTTCAAGCATTATTCTCTTTTATAAGTGTCAGATGCTTCCTTATAATTTTTTCACTTCATAAAAAAATAACAAATCCTCTCTCATTTTTTAAAACACAATTTTTTAAGTTTTAAAATTAAATATTTCCTTTTTAATTTCAATCTTTTTAAAAAATATTTTTGATATGCAAAAATAATTACTTATTTTCAAACAAAATACATGTACACTTAATTTTTTCTCCGAGAGAAAAGGTAATAAAAAGTATATTGTATTTCGACAGATATAATTCAACGACTCAAAAAAGACCATTTCATTCAATCCATCAAGTCTCTCCTTTGAAATAAGATTTCTCTGCGTTTTTCTTCTTGGATATTGACATGTTTTATTCATGTATAAATTACATGTATTAACCAACTGACATTGAATGCGAAGACGCAACCAATTACACGACCCATTTCTCTTATTATATAAATCATTCGAAGTTTCAAATTTCATTTCTACTTTGTATGGATTGACACTGTGAAATGTCCTTTGATAAGACATAAAATGTAGTGCGATTTTCTCAGTCGGCAGGGTAACTCGATAACATGGGACATTTTTCTGATTTCATCCACCATTAAATCTCTGTTTGCCTCATTAGGTGTCAGTTACATTACGAACACAGATTATCAACACGGAATATTGATAAAACGTTCTTAAAGCATCCATTGTCAATACACCTCGATTTTTCTCATGCACTTGGTTAATAATAATAAAAAAATAATCCAAATATTACGTCTCTAAGGACTCGTTTCATATATTTTCTAAGTTGGGTGGGTGGGGTGAGGATCCTTTGATGACCTTGCTGTACTTAGTTGACGTTGTACATATTAAATAGTACCGTATACATTTAAACATCATGCAGGATTTTTATTAGTTTGTATGTTTTCGTATTATTTTTTGTTTAGCGTTTACGTGCGGGTAGCTATTTGCATTTCAGTCTCAATCGAAAATCGAACTAGTTTATTTACAGTTATTTTCCTTATGCATCTGTACTTAATGCCTTGAGCATTATTTTCTATATTTAAATATTGTCTACCAATGTTTAAGGATGAATATTGATAGAAAAAAAATGATGAATAGATGTACATTTGAATAAATGTACTAAGAAAACTTTTTTCAAATGTGGGTACCCGGTTTACTCAATTAAAAAAAGCTTCTTAACTTTTTTTTTACTCTACATTGCCAACGATAAGGTTTTTTTCTTTTTTAAAAAAAATATCAGACCACAAAAAAGGTCGGATTTGGGGGAGCATCTCGACAGCGTGTTGTTTAGTTTCTAAAATGTAGGGGGTTTTGCGTCATTTATTTGGGTAGCTGTAGAACTGTAGCATTATGGTTTTATATACCCTGGTATATTAGTCTTCGACCAAAAAGCTACTATCTGGTGCAAACAAATGTGCAATTCACGGCGCAAGATTTTTTTGCGTACGAGCTGTTGAGAAGAATTTCTCCATATTGCGCATTTCGCATTCAGGATTGGTCAATCCACTTCCTTTCACTCTCTAATTCCAGAAACATTATTTAACTAATCTGCATATTTTATCCACCTCAAAACCTTTTATACTGTGTAGTTTTCTCTAAGAGCGATAACATTCTTTGATTTGAATTTTCTGCAATCCAACAGACCATTCAAATCAAGCTACATTTGATCCATGTCCTTTTTTAAAATTCCTTACTATTAAGGGTTGGAAGGTGGATAAAATATACAGATTGGTTTTAATAATGTGTCTAGATTTAGGGAGTGAAAGGTATTTGATTTACCGATGCTGAAAAGTGGAGAAATTCTCCCCAACAGTATGCAAAAAATCTTGCACCCAAAATTGCACATCTTTTGCATAACGGGATCTGCAGCGTTATGGTCGAAGACTAATATATAAAACCTTACCGCTACACTTCTGCAGCTATTATTTGGGACGAGAGAAGTTACGTTTAACTTATCAAGAATGTGTACATTGAAAAATCACAAAAATGTTTTCAAGAACATAGTTTTCTGTGTGTTTTCATATTTCATCGTTTTCAAAAATTCGCACACCCGCGCGTCATTGACTAATTTCAATTTATTCAAATACAATAAAGCGCATTGAAGTGGTAAAATTTTCCGTTCGAATGGAACGTTTTGAGCTATCTTTAGAGTGTTTATTGTCATCTTATGACACGCCCATTTCTTTAGAAATTGATAAAACGGTCAAGTTGTTTCTTCAAATACCACAGGTTTTCCTAAATGTAATAGCCAATCAAATTGAGGATCTAAATAAACACCGAGTAAACACGTGTCGACCGAAACATGTGTTGTGGTAACTTCAATAGACATGATAAGTTCAAAAATATGTACATATTCGTTGCAATTTGTGTTTTACAGAAGCGGGGACTAACTCCATCATCTAATTTTTTAAAGCTCCATTTCCGTGTAACTCATGATGCTTGTCGCGAAGAATGGGGTGTCCTAAAACTACGACGAATATTTTTTTCTAAAAATATGGGCGTGTCATTGTGTTATAATTGACGTTCAAAACATGACTCAGAACTTTTAATCCAAACGGAAAATTTTACCACTTCAATGCGCTTCATTGTACCAATTCATAATTTTGGCGATGAATGAAAGTTACACACTTTTTTTAACGCACTGTGTCAAAATACGAATACAGAAAAAAAGTACATTGAAGTACATGAATTTGTTAATAATAACCTGTCGTTTAGCTAACCATCCTTACAAACACGATTTCCTCAAATAATTCTATATTATCAGTGAATATCCTTTATTAACAAGATTTCCTTAGATCAATGTAAAACGTATTACTTGGTATTTCATTTTGGGGGGATCGGGGTCTTTTTTCTGTTCCTAAACCTCACCTTGTGAAAAAAGGGGAAAAAAGGTCGAATTATGTAAAATGACAAAAGTTCTTTAAAAAGTCGAATTATGTCACATGACAAAAGTTCTGAAAAATCTCTGATAAGCTGTACAAAGCAGTTTTTCTTGTTTGATTTTAAGACATTTGAGCTTTATAGGATCACGTGCGCTAGATTTTCGTTACCACTTCCTTACCTCCTCTCTCTGTGATACATCCGGGCTTCCTTTGTCCAGCGTCCGGAGCACCTGCTCTAACAACATCCACTCCCCCTTCAGACTCAGGGACAGGACTTTTCCCAGCCCCGTGGCTCCTGATCCCACGGAGAGATTGTCCAAATCTGTGCTTTTCACGGATACCCCGCTCCCTATCCCACTAGACGCCGTGCTGTTGGCCGCGGATGTGTCGTCCGGCTTGTCGTTGACCGGAAGTCCGGAGACAGACATCCTGTCACTCCATTTGTCGCTGTTTAGTTTGTCCATTTTTTAGGAGACTACATATTTAAGATTCCCTGACTTCTGTGTTGTATTCTTTCCTCACACTGAGATATCGATGAAGCTAATATAAGGCATTGATTTAGGTGTGCGGTGAAGGCACTTAATCGACGAAGTTATTTCTAGAAAAAAAAAGAACTCTATGTACGTTTTCTTAATTAACTCAACTGCTCAGTAATCACAGGAATGAAAAAAAAATTGATAGCTTTGCTTTAAATGATTTTTGTTTACAGAATAATTTTTCCCCACAACCCACAATTTCATATGAATGTCCCAACACGAAAAACTCGGAAAATCGGACTTGGCATGGTCCTATCCAAAGAATTTGTTTGTAACAATCATGGCAGTTTCCAGGTTCTTTAATTCATATCAAACTTTGGCTTTTTTAACATCACTTTACACTCAGGAGTCCGTCGAATATTTTCCATTTTTATCCTTCCTACAATGGTTCTCTGATAGCAACACTAATATGCTATCTGCATCGTATTATTCTCTTTATTTGTCTTGCCTCTCTGGGGCATCGCACCGCTGCTTGTTAAATTAAAACGATAAAGCGTTAATCAATATAAAAGAGAGGCCGTACGGGTAGATACGGAAGCTGGATTCAGTCACGTGGTCCCGGTAAAAATCAAAATTTGTAGACGCGTCTCTATGGAACTGAGTGTCCCGCTCTCCATTACTAATAACTCATCGTCATAACAAGATATCAATATGGAAAATAAATACATCTATTAGAGAAATTAAATGAACAATTACACTGTTGACATGGTTCGATAAAAATGCTTGAATACTTTTCAATCTTTAAAATGTCTAAATCTTAAAACTTTTCGTGAAGGAAATGTAAACTTCACGCGTAGATTCTAAATAAATATAATTATTCGTCAAAGAAAATGAGATTTACACTCCATTCATTAATTAATAGTTTTCATGTAATAGATTCGAACACCTGCCTCTAATAAGTCGAAAGTCAACACAACACTCCCCCCCCCCCTATATATAAATCTACTGTAAGCCTTTTTAATTCCACGGTGTTAAAATTTCATGATTTCTTTTTTTAAAAAAGTACCAATTGCGTCGGTTTTAATTTCACGCTGCAGGTCTGAAAGAACGACGACACTATTTTGAATGTAATTAGAGTCTTTATTTTTACAGGAATGGTTTTGAAACCTAAAAAATGAAAATAATTCGAACTCAGCTGTATCCGTAAATCTCCGTCAAGTTCATGGTTGAACCACACTACCTAGAGGCCCATAGAAGAGATGGATCATATCTATATACTCACAGACAATACAAAAACGGGTTTCTCATCCATTCGAGACCTTACAAAAATGCGTAATTTCGAATCTATTGCGAAACTTTACAGGATCGGCGGGATTCAAATGTATCCATAGACTTTCTAAATGGACGGGGTTCGAATCATTTCATTAACTTAAAAGAATTGATGAGGTCCAAATCAGAGACTTACGGGATGGATGGATAATCGTATCTCTATCGAAACCTCGCTTCTAATTGACGTAGTTCGAATCTGTTAAAAGACAAAGGATTTGACGGAGTTTGAGTCTATGTATAGACTTACAGGATTGACAGTGTTCGAATTTGCTCATAAACATTACAGGATAGACAAGTTCGAATCTCTTTCGAAACCTTGTTAGATTGACGGGGTTCAAATGTAACAGACTTTCAGAATTGATTAATTCTTAATTTTAATCTATTAATAGACTTATAAGATTGACAGGACTTATAGTTATATAGAATCTATCCATAAACTTATATAATTGACAGTATTCGAATCTATCCTTAGACTAGCATAATTGACGGTGTTCATATCTATCCATAGACTTAGGGAATAACTATCTTCTAATTTGGTATTTGCGACCGTTAATGCTGATTTAACGCGTACGCGGACGGATGTTTGCGACCGTTAAATATATCACAAATAAAATTATATAATAATGCAATGCACGCATTTTGTTTGTTGTTTACATCTTATTTTGTTGAGTTTCGTTATATGAAACACGTTTGCGTCGCTCAATTATGACGTCACAATGAAAAGCTTTCTGCCTCTTTAATGCTCGTTTTACTGCTTCAAACATCAGTGCATTACCCAATGAAAACGTATTTTACAAAACAGTTGCATTAGCATTACAGGATAACGGTGTTTCTGTCGAACCAAAGATTAAAAGTATGACGGTGTTCGAATTTATCCATAGATTTACAAGATAACGTGTTCAAACTATCCATATACTTACAGAATTGACGGTGTTCGATTATATCCATAAACTTACGGTATACCGGTATTCAGACGGTGTTCGAATCTATAAATAGACTTAAGAGGATGATGGAATTCGAATCTAATAATTGACTTACTGAATTTACTGTACTTGAATCTTTTCCCTGACGGTGTTCAAATCTATCCTTATGCTTAAAAGGATGACTTGTTCAAAGCTGATCACCGACTTGCAGAATTGACGGTGTTTGCAGCTATCCATATACTTTTAGTATTCTTTAAGTCTATTGATAGATTCAAACACCGTCAATTCTGTAACTTTTTACGGATAGATTCGAAAACAGTAAGACTTCGAAAAGATTCGACCATCGTCAATCTTGTAATTCTGTGAATAGATTCGACCATCGTCAATCTTGTAATTCTGTGAATAGATTCGAACATCGTCAATCTTGTAATTCTGTGAATAGATTCGAACATCGTCAATCTTGTAATTCTGTGAAAAGATTCGACCATCGTCAATCTTGTAAGTCTGTGAATGAATTCGAAAACAGTTAGTTTTTGGATTTCGAATCCATCCATAGACCTAAAGGATTGACGATTTTCGAATCTATCATCGGTGGACTTACAGAATGACGGTGTTTGAATCTATCCAAAGACTAACAGGACTGGTGATGGTCGAATCTATCCATAGAATTAGAGGATTGACGGTTTTCAAAGATATCCAGAAATGTGCATAATTAATGTTCGAATCTATCCATAAACTTACTGTATTTGAATTTATCCAAAGACGTACAGGATTATGGTGTTCGATACTATCCATCGACTTTCAGGATTGACAGTGTTCGAATCTATATATAGACTTACAGAATGAAGATGTTTGAATCATTCCATAGACTTACTGAATGACGGTGTTCTATTAGTTGCATAGTCTTTTAGACTTACTGTAAATTTCAATGACAGTGTTCAGGTATCATCCCATACCCTGTCACTAAATGACTAGACTTACATGAAACATTTACGTTTTATCTGTAGTTTATAAATGTTTTTCTCTGCTAAATGCTTCATCGCGCTTATACTGTGCTTATTATGACGTCACGTTTGTATTTGTGACGTAATACACAGGATTTTTGACCGGGTATGGATTTTTCAACTGAATCTACCGCCTTCACGTGACAGACTTCAACCAATCGTAAGCCAGAATTTCACGGAAAAATCAACAGAGGTGGGGTAAAAATATATCCATAGACTAGTAACTGAATGACGGTGTTCAAATCTATCCATAGGCTTAAATAATGACGGTGTTCGAACCTATCCATAGACTAACAGGATTGACCGTATTCTAATCTATTTATAGATTTACAGCATTGTCACAGGGTGTTCGAATTTATCCATAGACATACATGTAAAAGGATGATCCAGTATTAAAGTGTTTGATTCTATCCATAGACTTACAAAATTGACGGTGGTCCTGTCTTAATATAGACTTTATAATTGACGATGCTCGTATCTTTCTATAGATTGACTGTGTTCATATCTATCCATAAGCTTACAGAATTAACGGTGTTAAAATCTATCCATAGACTTACAGGATGACGGTGTTCTAATCTCTATATTATAGAATTACAAAATTGACGGTGGAAGAATCTTTCCATAGACTTAAAGGATTACGGTGTTCGAATATGGACTTTCAGAATTAATGGTGTTCAAATCTATCCATCACAGACTTACAGAATTAATGTTTTTCGAATCTATCCATAGACTTACAGAATGACGGTGTTCGAATCTATCCATTATACTAGGGCTGTGCGGAAATTATTGAAACATTGTGTACATTTTCCTTTTTGATAAACGTCTTTTTGTGAAAATTTGCATATTCGTTTGACAAACATTAAGAATTCATAAAAGCAAGAAATATTTCACAAATATTAAATTCCTTCTATTCAATGGTTTACAAATGTGTCATTGTTAGAAGTACCACGCGCAGTCACGAAATCAGATATTGACGTATGTAAAACCAACGTTGAAATTCCCAGTGGACCAATAATAATTAAGAGCGAAAATAATTCAAATTGTGTGTATAATTCTTCAATTTAATTTTGACTTCATGTTGTGCAAGTTTATTTAAATTTTGATCAGATATATACGGAAATCATTAAAAAAAATTATGCGCGGTAAAGAAATCTGATAAGGACGACAAAATGGATTTTGAGTCAAGTCGGAGCGGCTAGCATACAAAAAATTTTGTGTAGCTATGTAGAAATGTTTTCCAGAATGACTAACTTGCTAAAACAATAACAACGAGAAAAAACATGTCTAAGGGTTTGTTATTTCATTCATATATTTTTTTTCTAACCAATAATTCAACCAGAGTGAAATCAAATGCTCCAGACGGCCTTAAATTATTACAGAATTAATAACGATGACCTGCGTTACATAAATTGCCTGTATATACCTGGTATGACACATGAAAATGTTATAATGGTGTAGCAACAGCACATATTCTTTAAAAGAATCGTGTAAGAAAAGAGAGAGTTTGATTTTTGTAATGCTATATGTGATAACAAACAGAGAAGAGTAAACGCTTCCTGATCGTTACACATCCGAAAACATCTCAATCTGACGTGACGTTAAATTAGATTGACGTTGCAATGCTGCTCCAGGTCGATGGACATATGCATGTTTTTGATTTCACTGGAACTTATCTAATTATTCTGTGAATAAGAAATTTTGCTTAATTGTTTTATTTGTTCTTTATAAAATGTTGACGAATTTTCATGAATTTTTGTCTGTCCTTTATTGAATTAAAGTAAATGTCTCAATAATTTCCGAACATCCCTCGTGCACTTACAGAATTATCGATGTTCGTACCTAAACTTAAACTAACAGATTAACGGTGTTCGAATCTATCCATAGACGTACGGGATTGACAGTGTTCGAATCTATACAAAGACTAACAATTACAAGATAACAAAATAACAAGAC